AGCGTATCCGAGTGAGAAGAGTAACTCAGAATAAGACAAACCGAAAAGGTAACACATTTTTGCTCGGCCTCTAGAATATCCTAATCCTTTTCTCAATGTCATTACTGAGGATTTCTAGGCGAGCTGAAAAACTTCGAGTAAAAATAACTGAGGGGTTTTCTTCCAAGCAGGGTGTTCAGGTTGCGGTCGTAGTTTTGAAAACTATGCTTTCCCCAGTAAAAGAAAGTTCATAGCTAATGATATCGACTGATATAGATAGCAAGTTAGTGATAGATTCTTTGTAGATTAAGGATTATTTATTTTAGCGAGGAGGGGAAGCTCACACAGTTCCGTGCTAATGTCTGTCCCACTTATTAACGTGTTAATGTTTCTCGTGTGTTTGGTCCTCAACAACATTGTTTCGGCCATTGTAACTTTGACAAAAGATTATCCCATATATTTTCGTTCTTTTCTTTCCACACACCTCGCACTCAATCAAGTTTATTGAACTTTCCTTGCTACTTTTTTGACGAGGTCCTTGGTTTTTGTCCAGGGAGTCAGTCTTTCACTAAAGGAGTGGTGCCATCACACGTTCATTTTACACCAAGGTGCCAGTTTTTGGGGGGACTCCAATGGTTCTATACTCTCATTCAAAGAGAAATGATCATGAATGTTTAATGAGCTTGAAAAGAGCGATTTTGTTGACAGCTCATTGATCAGTCACGGAACAAGGAACTGTTGAGAGCAAAGCGAAAGACATTAAAAGATGGAATTAAAAAAGAACATTAAGTCATGAAATGACACCCCTGATAGAATTTGTTAGCAAGAAGGTGTTGGTAGAGGTTTCTGTGTTTTTTATTTCATTTTATTCCTACTTATTAACTAATTGAAGTGCGTTTAATTTATGCTTTATCTATGGGGAGCATTTTGTTAGGAGAAAATAATTATGATAATGCATAAAAGATCACAAGTTTTCGGTTTAGAAATCGTTTTAGACTTTCTCTTCTAGTAAAGCTCGTATATATCTTGAACACAACCAAGGCGTGAGCCTTATATCCCAAAAGGGGTCATTTTGTCGAACATTTTTGCTTTCGTGCAGTATCGAAAAGCATTTATATACTTCAGGAAGACTAATTTATGTTTTTCGAATCCATTACGAGTGGGATCATTATTATTATTCCGAGAGATCCCAATGTAAATCAACGCAAACTGGACTAAGCATGGAGAGCATCTTCTCCTCAGTAAACAAGTGCATGTACGCCAGAGGGGGTATCAGCTTTAGTATCAACCATTAGCTTAACCCACAAACTTCAATACCTAGGTCTGCACGCAATTATTGTAGTCTGCCACTTTGACACCGAGGAACCCAAAGTCCCCTTTCGAGTTTGACATCCTTGTTGATCTAAGGCTTTCAGCTCCTAGATTTATTGTCAATTTAAAGAAAAGTTGGTCAATCCAATATCAGAAAGGCTCTTTTCTTGTATTACATCACTATCAGAGATGATCATAAGAGACATTTAATTCCGTACCGTGACACGGAATTTTTTAAGCTCCTGAGCGCTTCAACCTTCAAACTATTGAACGCTGTTTTTTCTTCTTTGAGAGTTTTAGTCTGAACTGACATTTTCCAAAGAGGGACGTTTTCCGATTCCGTGTTGGATTTTGAGTGGCGTACCTGTCGCGTGCGCCAATCGGCATCCAACAGATAGATACTTCAGTTGATGTCAGAAATAAGTCATTACCTAGCTTCCTTAATTGGGAAGAGAGACAGCTAAAATTGCTTGTCAATTTCTAATTGTTCCGCCCGCCTTCAAAAGTCGTAACTTTGTTTCCATCAGTGGCACGAAGAAACGTGTAATAATGAGCGTAAACCTAATCAAACGAGCACTATATATCTCGGTAATACTATACTAAGTTGGTAACCCAGTACTACCAGTGATTTGTTTTCATTCAAATGACTAATGACGATGATGATGGTGTTGGTAGTGATGATAATGGTTATATAGACCAGGTTTGATATCGTGACTAGATCTCTAAACGAAACAACTGTCATGTCTGGCTTTTTTTCCGCAAGGCGCCATCTCACTCAAAGAAGTCGGTTTCGAAATGTTCACTATGTTAGCTTTGTTCTACGGCTCATTGGTAACACGAAAGAGTCAAAAGTTAGCTACGGCTAGAAAATAAGATCTATATCTACGGCACACCTAGTATAATATAAGACAAAGGAAAAAATGGTATCGCAATAATCCATCATAATTTTCCCCTCTATTTTAGTATCGCGTGTTGCTCGTACTTGTTTCACCCTGGTACCGATCTATGACAAGACGTGTGGATCAACATGCTTCTCCCCTGGGGTGAGACCCTTGGGATAGCAATTCTAGTATAATGACACCTGGAGGGTCACTCAACCATATATAGTTAGTAGACTATCTCAACACTCCTTTCTACCACTTCTTTCTCTTTTACTCCGACGAAGGACTAGCGTCCGAAACGTCAGTAAGTTTTTTCATCTTTTCACGGTGTATAGTTTACCTTTTCATCATTACTGTTTCATTAGAAACACCGACGCAGCTCACACTAGTTTTTAGCTAGTTATATCTTTTTAGACTATCTCAACCAGTTAGCTTCAGCTTTAAAAAGATAGGTTAAAAAGGGTAAACATTGCATGGAAGACTGTTCCCCTAGCTATATATAGTCAGGGGTATATGAACGTGTTTCGATATGACGCAAGCATTGCCAGGACGGAATACATGTTTCTATACTTAGATAAGTTAGTTCAGTACTCCACGTGGGTGACTTTTCGCGTTGGTTGTCTTACATGGCGTTACGGTTTGGTTATCTTACGTGGCGTTACTGCGTTGTTTTCAATGCAGTTGACCGCTTTCACTCTTCACGCACTAGTAGCGATGTTGATTGCTTTCTATATTTGTTATTTCCTTTCTTTTTAGAGACTGATTAACGGGTGGACTATAGAAAAGCTAATAATCGCGAACTAGTTTTCGATCGAAGTCATCGCAAAGGTGTTAAAGTCTTTTAAAAAAGGTGTGAAAGTAAATACCGAAAATCATTATTGAATGTAATGAGGTCCAAGTAGGGCAAGATGTGTGAAACGTTTGATCACACAATGAGAACAACCACGGCCATTCTAATAAGATTATATAGCATATGGAAAACAGCAGTCCTAGAGATTTCTTGTGTAGCTTGGCACGAGAAATGTTATATAGGAAGTGGACCAGTCGTAGCCTTATACGTGCGTTAGAGAACTATCTATTCATCATAATCAGACTGAAATAGAACAACCAGAGTCTTGTCTTGCGTGGCGTTATTAACAAAATTATACAGATTTAGATATGTTAATTTCAGCGGGTTCCTTTTTTTTTCATTTTCATTTCTAAGTGGATGTATAAATAGAGTTCTGTTATAATTAGAAATATAATAGGGGGGTTGGTTTTTTATCTTTTTTACAGGGCTCAGAAAATATTTATCCAAATAAGATGGAATATGATGATCTAGGATAGTGGGGATGCAAGGACAAAAACAAATTATGAGCTAAACCAGGAAGAAAGGATTTTAGTGAACGGTTGGATTGCAAATACAGCATCCAATAAGATTTACCTATTCATAAGTCGCCTGATAAGTGGGTAAGATGCGATCTCGTTTATACCAAACACCTGTCGCTTTTTCTCAAAGTCGAACCGACCCCTACGTGAGTGATAATTCTTTGGAAACTGAAAAACAACAATCAAAGCCCATTTTCAYACAGAGATAAGATTCTTGTTGTTTATGACTGAAATCTAGATGTAAACACACACAAAATGCTGGATTTATCTGTCGATACGTGTTAGGTTTTGTCGAGGGTGCGGTTATCTCGGCAGTAGCAAAAGGGAAGTAAATTATCCCGAGGTGTTGCAAATATATAATTTTTCGCTTCCATCAAAACATTGGATAGATTCACATTAGATTCTACACCAGCATCTGCTTCTATTACCCAATTTCAAACGACTATACACATCCGCTGGGGAAATGAATATTTCGATGAGAATCGCATGAGTGCGAATGACTCGGAATTCTATCACTCGCCGGGATTTTTACGATCGTTCCTCGGCACCTAAGTTGCCGGTGAAGTTGATACAATCTTGGGAGAAAAAAAAGGAGTTTCGGATGTTATTTTTGGGATCTGTATGCTCCATATGTTGAACTGTGCTTGAGATTGACATGCTATTGACATATGAAGTGGATATCAAATATAGGGCAATATTATATTCCATCTCGTACACGCGAAACACATGATCAAAATGGGCTTTCGCGATATTTCGGGAATTTAGATTTTGAGTATCCCTTGATTCGAATCTTCCATGGTAATAGCCAACTTTTAATGATGACAGGAACAAGTAGATCATTTTTAAATTGTTCTTGAGGTTGTTAGCGAGCGCTTACATAGCATCACGTATATCACGTACGCAGGTTTGCTCGTCACGCGTCCGTATCAGGAACGTGACTAGCGCGAAATAGCATCTGATTGTTTTGACAATAGCCACTGGTTATGTATACAAATGATCTCGGCCGGTCGATCCATTCATCGCAGAACATCATAGCCATAGGATTAACAGCACTGCTCGCGAAAAAGACTTTGAAATATTAGACTCGTTTTTCAAATTTGGCTCATTGGGCATCGAATAGAAAGTAAGTCTATCGAGTGGAAGAAAAATCAAACAGAAATATTTCGAAGGGCTTCTTTGTGATTTTACCGGCGGCTTTACTTCAAATCACTATAAAGCAGTCGATGTGAACGGTGAAGACCAAAATCCATTACATATTTTTGTACAATTTCGTGTATATGTTTGTATAATTTCAAGTTCTGTTTCAGGGTTCTTTGCAAATTGTTGAAGAAAGAAACAGATTAGAATTGGCCTTCTGTTTGTCATGAGAATGATGAAACACACCGATACGATCGATTGCCAGTGTATAGAAAATACGTGCCGAAATCTCACCATGTTTTTTTTACTTCCTTTTTTCCTCAGGTATTTTAGAAGTACCAACAGCCAAGCTTCAGTCTGAACCAAAACGGGAGACAGAAGAAAGCTATCCCATTATAAAGACACTTTCGAGTTTCGGTCGTACAGACATGGTCTTTCCTCGTACCACGTTTCCTTTCCACGAGAATTCGCCACTTCATATATCACCAGTTACAGATAACAGCAAACGATTTAGGAACAACCCTTTGAGCTCTTTCAACGGAGATTTCACAGGAAAATCAAACCTGGGACTTGCCATGAAACGAGCTCGCACTGATGATGTTTACTTCAAGCCTGAAGCGGCGAAGAAAAGATGCTTCGAGTCTTTCTTTCAAGGAAAGGAAGAAATATCAGAGGCCGACTTTCAGATGGCACTCATAAAGCAAAGCATTTCTAGAAAAAAGGAATGGGTTTATAATCAAGTGCTACAGAACTTGGAACTTACAACGCCTTCCGACACGAATCGCGTGAATGTTATTAGCGATTCACAGCGGGTAGGCGCAAAAAACTACCATCAAAATAACACGAATACGCCATTTGTAAATAGTTTTCCTTCAAATTCAGCGCACCAATCTAGCTTTAGTGGACTTGTCCGAGTCAAGGATTCGAAAAAAGTTATCGACGAAGATGGCAATTGTTATATAGATACAGATGATTATATGAGCTTCAAGGCCCATAAAGGACCCTCTACTTCGCAAGGAGTCGGATATTCAAGGAACAATACATTTAATGGACATATTAAGCAAGAGACCAGAGACTTTGATTCATGTGATACAACAGTCATCACCAAGAGAGGGTTGTTTTTGAACTTAAAAATCAATGGAGGGGTTGCTATCGATCATGACAGTATGCCCAAAATTGCGGCTATTTACACACATGGTATAAAAGGAAGACAAGAACACGAAGCTCGGATGCGACAACGTCACGTCCAAGCGAAAATCACCGGCTCTATCTACAGGCCAACACAKTCGGGTGATGTCAAAACCGAAGAAATGACAGAGGGGAAGAGTAATATCGCTAAAGAGGAAGYCAAGTGGTGGCCACCGAGCCCAGAGTCTATGCCCACCGATGTTATGTCAAGAGACGTTGGGGAAGGATTATTAAAAGTTATGACTCCAGATGATATGAAGGCCTATGGTCTCCCTAAAGAGGTGAGTTTGAGTTCAGTCACCATTCATTCAATTTTATTACTATGGAGTAGAGTTATCCATTTAAAAAAAATTCCAGGGTGTCCCTGTCTCAGCTGTTCCCCCTTATACTTCTTTGGGGTCAAAGATACCTTCTTCAATGGTAATATATGATATCAATTGAACTGAATCACTCTAAGAAAGTTCTAGAAGACTCCAAAACCACATGCATGTCAAACAGTCGTGAGCGCCGAAATTTCAGTCCTCATCATAAGCTTTGCTTCAATATGAAAAACAAAAGTAATAATTAGTTTGTCTAGAAAGGATCCTGTATGTTATGATAATATAATGGTGCACTAAGTGATATGAGACCTGGAGTAACTACTATAGACAATGGAGCTTTATTCTGATGATTGTTCTATTGCTTGTATTACAGGAGGAAAAGAATGAAGCAGAACCAGAGAGAGATGACGATGACGTTGTAGTAACTAAGATTAAAATGGCCCCTAGGAACAAGCTCAGGAATAATAACAAGATGGAAGGAATAAACGAAAAGACGCAGGACGAGTTGCCTCCTTTGCAACTGGACGCTTACGGTAAAGCAGCCAATTACAAAGAAATCCTCTTACATTATATTTCACAAAAACTGAAAAATGATTCCAAGAATACCTGCCTAGAGAACATTAGTTCGGTTGCTGAGAGACCACGTAGGAATATGAGTATGGAAGAACTTTGTAGCAAACTAAAGGACACGAGAGAAAAACTAGAGAAAGAAAAATTAAAATGGAGACGCAAGCTTTTGAGTAGCCTAGAAGTTGTTTTAATCAAGAAAATACGGCGCCTGGAGAAAGAATCTAGAGAAGTAGTACCTGATGGTATGATATTAGAGGGTGTGGTAGTTCAAAAACGCCAGGAAGACACGAAAATGGAAGAAAAACAAGAAGCTTCTGTTAAAGGAAGCAACAGTGACATTGTAGCAATGATGGAGGATTTGACCTCAGAAACTGCAATCGTCGAAAGCACGCGGTGCAACAAACGCACTGAAAGGAACAGCCAAAGTGTATCAAATATTCGCGGTTATGACTCATCCTAAGTAGGCCACTCTCAACTCGAACTTTCTGATTCAGAATAATTCAAACCTGAAGTGAATGGGATTTGAAGAGTATTCGATGGGGTTTATTTAATGGTGGACTAAGTGACCCCCTTACTTTTCCTGTAAGGTCGATATCAACTGCTGTTTTTATATTATTTATAATATATTGATATTATTTTTGTTGAGTTATTTCTGGTAGAATTCTCAGTCTTTTCAAATCCCATTTTTTTATTCATCTACTTAAATTTCTATTCATGTTAGGAATCAATTCTACGGTACTATATTCTTCTAATTTAAGTTTTAAGGTTATCTATAGTAATATTTATTATATTTCTAAGAAACCATTTCTAGAAATGATGAGTGAGGATTTTTTGTTTTAAGTTGAAAGTCAAGGTATGTGTGGTGAGTTTTAGCGCGTGCGATTAGAGATCTTAAGCTCGTTTTCTACTGAATTTATTATGACGAAGATGGAAAGCCATCTTAAAAATATCGTCGTGTTATGTATATAAATACGCTAAAAAATTAAAGAAAATATAAGTTTTATATACAGGATTGAATGAACTTTAAGTAAATGAAAATAAGAATATTATGTAATTAAAGAAAATATTTATAAAAACGAAAAGATATTAAGAAATAAATCAAGAAAGCTGAAAAAAAACGTGTATGATCGTGCCATTGTGGTATTATAATCCTTGTGCGTGTAATAATTCCTGACCAAGAAATATTTTCGTCACGACAACCCGCCTCTTAACCTTCTCCAAAGGCCTCCCACGCCCTTCCCGTAGAAAAGAAAATTCTACAAAAAAAATGGATGGAACTCAAAGCGTTTGCGGCAAAATGGAAACGACGTAATAAAGTTACAAACAAACAAACAAAAGAAAGCCAAATATAACAGGAAAAAAATAGCCATCAAAAAAGAATTAAGGAACTATGGTGAAGAAAAATAAAGTCAAGAACGTAGAATTCGTTAAAACTATAAAAGTTGGAACGCAAGGCATCCCCCACGCCAACGGTCAAACGTGACTATTTGTGACGCTTTGCCAAGCCGATTGTATTTTAATGTATTCATTTTTTTTCTCCAAGAGATATTCTTACACACCGGCGTTTTTGAAAACGTTTGAACCAAACTTATGGAAATAATATTTACAGGATTACATTATAGCACCGAACGGTTTTTGATTTGTTTTGCGCAGACGATAATTTCAAAGATGACGTGCGTACTAATTTTCTAATTTTTTAAAAATACAGTGATTAATCAGTAGAAATCGTTAATAAGAGAATATTAATCTTGAAAAGGCGTGCTAAGAGAGATCTAGAGTGATGGATTATAACATGCAAACCACGTTTGGTGCGTCATGCGTTTTCTACTGCTTGGTTCAATGGTCTAAGACCCTGAGGACATGAGGGGCGAGGCATAGCAGGTGTATGGAATTATCAAAAGTTTAGATTCTAATTTATTGGGATTAAACTCGGGTATGTATAGTCTAAAATATGAAAATACCTCAACAAAGAGAAAGAAATGAGAGAATGAAAGGGAAGCATTTAAAGATTTACGACCGAGGAAACACTTGAAAGGACGCCACGTCGAATCCTTTTTTATCAATATGTAAATATTTAATAACAAAAGCGTTGGCCTTTTAAAGCATAAAAAAATACTAGCATAACAAAGATATGACTAAGCCACAGTCACGTCAGTACGTCGAACCAAGAATTATTGTGAAATATTTTAATGTGCTTGTATCACCAAACAATCCTCTAGACGACAGCGCTGACGTGGGGAATAGAAAATGGGGGTTAATATGACGTCATTGTTCGATATTTCAAAGAGCAAAAAATCTAAGTAAATGAAGCCTTTGAAAAAACCTCAGGAACTGTCTTAAGTTCACCTGGAGAAAGGTAAGATAGAATAAATAAGGCTTCTTTGATTCAGGAGAAAACGTAAACGCTTATTGGTTACGACTGAGTTTTGCGTACGTGTTGCGGTATTAAATTGATCAACCTTAACAGCAGCTTTAACCTAAGGGCATCCTGAGCTGAAACGTAAATCCATTTAGATATGTTATTAACAAGAAATTAAAACAAAATAAAGGTTAAGACTCACGAAACACGAAATGTTTTACGCTAATGCTCAAGGATAGAGTTAACATGAAAACGAGGTTAAAGAGGTTACACCTATGTTAGTTAATAATTCATTAATAAATCAGTAACACTAGTTTTAGTCAAATAAGAATAAGAAATTACCATTCTGGCTGTAAAGTATTTTGTAAAGCCTGGTTCTCGCAAACGACGCGACTCCATATGAATATAGAAGCAACACAAGCGCAAGTTTTTCTTGGCTTGGCTTGCGCTTGTGCTAATCTTTGCGTCGTCTTGCGTCACCAGGGAGAACCAGATAAGCTGATAAAGCCGTCAAGAAATGTACTAAGGAGAAAGCAATAAGCACGCAAACTGATCTGTAGACGCACGTCTAGGTGTGAATGCGCACCAAAGTATGGGATTCTTAGTCTATAAAAAGAAAAAAGCCTACTTTCGAGATATGCTTCGCTTGTCACGCACAACGGTTTCAGTTTGAGGCTACGTTCTAAATTCTTTTCTCCTGTCACGAATCACTGAGCATTTAATGCACGAAGCCTCTTGGAAGTGGGCTATTAGTGGGCGCACTACCAAATCCTATCGTATCCTTTATTAATTGCCTGGGGGATTTAGGGGGGATCAGGCATGGTTTTTAGACATTTAGAGGGGGAATCAGGTCAATATTTACATGTATTAAATGGGGGGATCACTCACTAACAATCACAAACAAGGGGGAACAGAAAAAAACATAGGGCCCCTTCAGGCAATCAGTTAGTCTTTTTGATGTCGTAACAGGAATACTCCAACATCCCCCTGGCGATCAATAAGGGATGGCTTCTTGTTTCCTGTTTCTTTATATTCTTTTACTTTGACTCAATGTTCCCCTTTCTAATAATTTCAGTACAAATCCTATCTTTTAGACTTTTCCATATCAAAGCCGGTTTTCTTATATGTCTTGACAAGAAAGATATAATACCAAAAGGAATGGAAATCGTCAGAAATGGGACAACATTGAGTCAAACAATCTGTCAAATATACCTCTAGTCCAGACGCTGGACCCTCTCCTTTCCCGCTTCGCTTTTGTTTTTGAGCAAAACAAAAGCGTAGCTGTAAAGGGAGAGGGTCCAGCGTCTGGACTAATAGACGTCGTGCAGGATGTCGGAATGCATATGGAGGACATAACAATAGGTTTCCAATTCTCAGGAGATTAAAAGTCTTTTGTTTTGTCCTCCAAATTGAGCTGCTTGGACGTTCACATGCAAGGGGTTTAAGTAAAGTAGTAGTGTTTCCTTTTCAAAAACCAATCACTTACCATAAGAAATCACTAAAATGGGAGAGACACCGCAAGATCATCAAATAGAGTTCCCACTGGCATTGCTGTTTATCTTTGATAGCAACTGGCTTTGTTTGGCCAAGAGTGCTTTAATCCTTTCCTCTCTATCTAAAGAAGTCTTTATCGTATGATGTTCCTGAGGGGTGGTAGTGTATGGTACGCATGTCCAGGATTGAGTAGAGACACTAGTGTTGTCCTCACCATTAAACCAGGAAGGCTCCCATACCGCCTCCTTCATTTGCTCCATTGGCATGTCCTTTTTAGTTGAAGCGTTATCAAATGTGTCAGTCACGCTTTTTGATACTGGCTGTGCGGGTAACGCAATCGACGATGATGTATCGAGATCTTCCGTGTCACGGTCTGCAGAGATTATTATACCATCATCGTTCATATATTCCATGTTCAGGAATTCCCCATTTGTACTCAAATCAATCATATTCTCGCAAAATGGTTCATTGGTTGCCTCTGTCTTTTGTCCTATGAATTGAAACAACATAAACATGATTTTTCCCATTTTGCCACGTAAAGTTCAAAAAGCCGGAAAATATTTTTCTAAAGTCATACCTTTTGTGTCACTTGAGGAAGGGCTGGACTGAACAAAAGATTGATCCTCAGAGTCACTTGATGTTAGATTTATACTGCTTGGGGGATCAGACAAAGAAGTGTCTGGTGAAATAGAATCATCACTAGTAGAAGGCCAACGCCTCTTTGCTAATCTTCTAGGCGCGCCTTTTCTAGGACGTTTAGAACTGAAGCCGACGTCTACGTTGTTAGCATGTAAACCGTTTTCTTTTTCGCTATCCAAGGTCCTCTTTAAAGAACTTGTGTTGGTTTTTAGTTTGTCAAGACATCGATTGAGAGATTTTCCTTTTTCAGGAGTAAAAGTTTGGACAACATCACCTACTCTTTCATTCCAGTTTACATCCCCGTGTTTTTCTTTCAAAGTTTTTATCGCAATCATGTCAACACTGCCATCAACTTTCCCCAGTAAAGTTTCGAGTTCTTGAATATGGTTACCTCCAATTGACTGGATAACATTACTTCCATCTTTTGACTCATCTGTGGGAACAAAACTGGGCTCAGAAGCCAATGAAGAACGTTCCTTCCTTGCACTGACTTCAGGGCTATTCACTTCATTCTTTATTTCCATATTCTCTTTCATTCCATAATTCGATTTCGTTTCATTTAGACTTAAATTTAGGTTCTTTTTCTCAGTAGTAATTTCCGTTGTAAAAGTGTTGCGATCTTTTTCCAAAGTTTCCATCAAGACAATCTCTTCCAGAAGTTCTTCTGACACCGCCCTTTTCTTTAATTGCCCATCTTTAGCAAGCTCCAGTTTCGGATTAGTTTCTCCACTTTTAGACCATTCATTTAGAGATGACGCTACTCCAAAACCTAATTTTCTACATTTTGCTAACTTTACATACAGGTTTTTTGCTTCTGGCGTTTCTTTATAGGTTTTGGCGTTGTCCTTCAACCGCTTTATTCTATTCAGTACCCTCTCCCTTAATGATAACTTGACATTTTTTGAATCATCGTTATTCTTCGGGGATGACGATTTTTCGGCTGCGCCGAGGGATCTAGAGCTACAACTAGTAGCAGAACGTCTTAGAGATCGTGTGCTTTGTGTAGAAAGTGGAGTTTTGTCATGTTTGTTGAGTTCGTTTCTTCCAGTTGTATTCTTTGAGTTTGATGTTTCATGAACTGAGTTAAGATTCGACGCAGTCAAGTTTTCCTTTGAAACTCTTACTCGCTGCGTTGGTGGCCATTTTCTAACCGTTGGAGCTTCATTGTTCTTTACTAGAGTCTCCTTCGATTCATTTAAAGTAGGCTTAGGATGAGAACAGAATTTGATCACGTTTCCTGGAGCTTGTGAAGTTTCATCCAAGTTTCCTTTTCTATCTGCAAAAAATTGAAGAATTATCGGATCTTCTGACGGAAGAAGAGAGGTGGCGTGTAAAGCCATTTTGTCCTGTTTCATGTTTTCTTCTACTCTTGCAGTTTTAACTGATTGTCCCGGAAACTTGACTGATGGAATACTTTTTGCATTTGAACTAGCTGTCAAATTTGCATTTGGCGAATTATCCTGTTTTGAGTTTAAACTTCTTCCAAGTTTTACTGCAGAATCGCCCCGTTGACTTGAATGATCCCACTTCAAAGATTTCGATGTTTCTTTCTCCTTTTCCATTATTTTATTTAATTTCGTTGTTGCTTCTTCTTTCTCAGTTTCCTTTGACTGTCCTAATATCATTGCTGTCGATGTTTCTTCCTGCTTTTTATTTTCATTCAAATGTCTTGAAATCATCAGCTTCGTTGATGTGTCCTTCGAGGCTATACATGTTGGCAAATCTTGGCTTGAAGGAGCTGGTAACTTATTTTCATAAACTTCGCCTTGACTTGTCGTTGTTGGACTTTTTAAGTCTAAGTTTTCACAAGAATATCCACAAACATTAAATAGGGCCTTTTTGGGGAAAGTCTCAAGACAGCTTGGGCTTGGCAAAGGTTGAGAATGGCATATTTCTTCACATGTTTTTGGAGCCTGTGTAATTTGACTGAAAGGTAGTTCTGGTTTAGAACGTATTATCCATCTTCTATTTTTAGGTCCAGAAATAGTGTYGTCTGTGACTGAAACTTCTGTAAATCTTGCTTCCTGCAAATTATATATGAAGGTATGTCAAAAATAAAGTAAATTCTGAAGGAGTCTAATTCGATAATATATCATTTCTATATCAAGTGTGCAGTTGTCCTCTGTGTTTATAATCCACTGAGGCCTTTTCTACAGAGCACTTTTCTATGGAGCATTTTCTATGGGACCACTGTGCATTACTAAGTAATAATCCTATGTAAACAATCAAGTGGATGATTATATATGATACCATGAATCATAATAAGGTTTTTCAAGTCTTAAAAGGCAGGAAGAGAAATCCTCCTGGAAGATGGCGTGTTATAAGGTTATTGATTACATACCTTGACATCTACGTCAATCACACTGACATCATGTGCATTTATTTGGTCTGGGCTTAGTTCAATCAGAGTATGAACAGCAATTATTTTTGGCAAGGCCTCATGGTCATATGCAATACCACCAGGAAATTCGAGGGCAGTTGTTTTGTTGTCTTGTAATTCTGGATGTATAATGATAATAACATTAATCCAAATATAGTTTGTGTGCATCATGTCCTATGAGACTCAATGTCCCGAGATCTCTAAGGATGCCAAATAAGGTACCACTCTTCCCTGAAGACTGAGAAGAGTGAGTGGTGATTTTTTTATTGCCTAGGTAGTATTATTATGTTATGTTAACTGCAAGTGCATTTTAATTTGATCATGTGATGCCAACGTTGTACCAAAAGGTTTAAACACCACATGATAAAAACTTGACTGCACTTTGATCATGTAGTGTAAAAAACTTGTCCATGTTGTTACAACATTGGCATCACATGGTATACAGATTGAAAATTGATAAAAACCTCATTTTAGTACTGCCCAATGACCATATAAGGTAGACATTAAATTGAAAGAGGTGAAAGAAATTTAAAAAAACCAGACCCCCCTTATCTTCACAAGCCTATAAGTACCCAACCACAAGCCTCCGGATAGGCTTGCAGAAAAATGCAAGCTACATCTGTTATCAAGGTAACAAGAGGTCAAAAAGGGGTCCAGGATAGATTCATAACTTAATTTGAGTAGATCAACCAATTACAAAACAGATAATCAATTACACTGCAGGTATGCAAGATGAGGGCCACTTGTCTACATACACCATCCTCTTGAGAAGTCTCACAGTTTGGAGGTGAAATGTCACTGTTAAAATGACCTCCATTGTGAGACACTTTGATAAGTATATTTTATATTTCTTACCATAATGAATAATGCATTATAATTAAGATGCCATGGACCAATAAAAACATAAAGTCTAATAATAGATAATAACCTTTGCATGGGCTAACTGATTTGGAGATATAAGACGAAGCAAAGGATGCCATCTTTCCAATGCAATAGAATCATCTGCAATATTAGTAATGTTTATAAAACAAAAATAATAAATATGTCAATAAAAGAATCAAAGCACCAAAATTCAATAGTTTTCCAACGCGATTAACTTCTCTTTAGCAAGTCTTTAAGCTTATTTGACTACTTTTGGCCTCAGTATTCATAAGCTTAAACATTTCTATTTTTATCCTACAAAAACTATAAATAGGAAATTTTAGAATTTCAAATGGTTATATAAAAACTACTTTGTTGTTCAATACTTTCTTAAAATAACCAATCCGTATTTCAAGCGTTCAGAAATTTAAAGTTTCATGAACAAAAGTGTAGGTAGCTGATGTGAGTAAAGAAAATAAAGTTTAAAATTTTTAGGCTATTTGAAATTGGATAAATAGTTTGCAATCACCCTCTAGACATGACTAGAGGGAAGAAATCTTAATTTAACAGGGAACTAAACGTACTTATACCTGTTTTGAAGCCAATTAAACGATATTTTGCAGGCAGGATGATATTATCCCCCTTGAGAGAGTACAGCTGAGCTAAGGGAAAACTCTCGTTCATCCACGCGAGAAGTCGATATCAGGTAAGCTCTTTCCAAAAAATACCAAACGTCTTGTTATCTATCTTAAGGAAAACCATGCAAGGGTTTGTAGGAAGAAATGAGCCGTTAAAACTTCACGCGGTGTGCTTTGTTCCTAGGCCTTATAACAAGGATAAAAACACCGCCATTTTTGTTTGCTGCTACGGCGCCTTGTCACTCAAAAAAAAATTAATGGCGCGAATATTACCGGATGTGACGCATAGTATTCAGTAAGTTAGGAAAACCGGAAGTAGAGAAATGAGGAATCAGCTTATTTTTGAGCTAGAGGTAAAAGTTTGCCAATCAAAGCACTCGTATACATGTCAGGTACAATTTTGAATGATGGTAAGGTTGTCTCACAGTCTTGATTACTAATTAAGTGCTTTGTTTGTTTGTGAGCCAGTGAATGGAAAGTGTGATATTATATTTAAAAAAGTGAACAGCAAAATGTCTTGTTTATTTTTTTCATTTTACAAATTATAATTATGCTTCCCATTTTACGAAATATGACAATGAGTGTAGACACCATTGACGAGATGACAAAAATTTTCATTTTTATTTCTTTATTTCATTCCATGTTTGCAAAATAAAGACATTACTTATTTCACTCTCAAGTCTTTTCTTCAGCTAAATTATTAATTAGTTTCTAATTTTCAAAAATAGATCTACATCTTTCTACTTGGTTGGCTCCGACTCCTCTTTGGTTTCATGCTTGACATACAGACAGTACGATTAATTACTGTTTTTGAGCCAGAAGGGCACATGCAAAACTACATGTCTTAGGCCTTGAGGTACTTGGCATGGTGCTTTATGTGGTCTTCCATGAAGGTTGAAATGAAATAATAACTATGATCATAGTCCTACAAAAAATGACAATACAAACATACTGTCAATTCATAATCTTATATTTTGGTTGTACATAATTGCAAAATAAAACCATCTCAAGTAAATAAAATCATATCAATATTTGCTACGATATTTATATTTATAGCTCCAGGATTTTTTAAACTAAGGGAATTGCATGGTGATCTGGCTGAGAGCTGCAGAAAATTTCAGCATTTTGTATCAAGATTTTTTGCTATTCTTATGGGAGGTTGTTGGGAGGATGCAGCCCCCTAAATATTTTTACCTTGCATCCAACTATGATTTGTAAATCAAATATCTAGTGATCTAGTAGTCCAGTCTTTGTTTTGTCAACAGATAGAAGTTTGTTCTTATTTAATTATAAATGGACTGACCTCTTGCATCCTAAGAGATATTTTGACGTTGGTTCCTTTGCTGGCCTCAACAAGATTTTCAGGAAGAAGTTGATTAGGGTAAAATTGATCTGAAGTACCCTGCAACAACAAAAAGACTCTTATCTCCATAAAATATCTTTGATTTTTTTCAATAGAACATCTAATTCCAAAAAAATATGCATGCGTTTTAACAGAGTATGGTTTGAAATTTCAAGGGTATGGAGGGGTAAGGAGCGTAAACTTACAAAATATCAATGTTTATCTATCAAATGGGACTAAAATATCCAAGAGTAAGAGAGTCTAAATGTTTATATTACAGAAATGATTAAAAAAGCATTACCTGGTCAATGAGGATATCTAAAGCTGGGCCACTGTACTTTTTAACAAGCTCACAAGAATCATATTCCTAAAGATATATGGACATCAAAATCATAAAAACTATTAATTATAATGACAAGGATTTTTATGAATATATATTTACACCAATTTTTAGATTATTAAGTTTTAATCAAGATCTTGCAGCTTTCCAGAAAAAAGTTATCTGTAAAGAAAAATAAACTTGGAAGGCTTGATAATGTACATAAATGTCAATCTTACCTTCCAGGCATCCTTGTTTGGTCCCAGATAGCCAGTGAAACCCTTTTTACCCCAAGGACAAGCCATTGGATTGCAGATTGGGGCAAAAGCTGAGACAGACTGATAAAAAAAGTAAAATTACAAAAATCTTCAAAATGAATTCCTTATTTCTTGTTGTTGAAGGTGACTAAGTGTCATTCTAAGATCCAAGAATAGCTGGAATGACTTGTGTTTTTGCTTCTTATTCTCATTAAGCACATGGAGCTTAGTGTTGAGATATACAATATTGTTTGTAGTGGACGACACCATTTTATAGGCCTAAATTATTCTTGGAATGATCTTTCACCTATCTACTTTGGCTCCAAAAACCTTTTTGAAATAGGCATATACATTTGAACCATTGCAGCATTTGTTTCTGATGCAACTCCCTGACTTGGGTCAAATGTCTCACCTTGTAGAGTCCAGGGTTCTTCAAAGTACAGATCAATGCACCATGTCCTCCCATGCTGGCAAATACATGAAATAATTCAATGCACTGCTAGAATATCTAGAACATTGAGATAAGGGGCAGCACAGAAAGGGGGGATGGGGGCTAGAGCCCTCAGAGATTTTTATTGCTGCTGGGCTACCTGTGGCACATGGTTACAAGGTTATTAATGATCCCCCCTCCCACTGGCTAAGCCACTCAAAAGGCTGAGCCACCTCTAGAGATACATGTCATGACCACCAATCACATACATATAGAGTGTAAATTGATTATGATCATTTCTTGGTAGGATGCTTTACATTTCACAGTCTATGCACACAGCATTCATTCATATCTTGGGTTTTAACAATCTTAAAACATAAACATTGGCTTCAAATATTTTACATTTTCTTGATCATAATAATTGTAATTATTGTGATGGATGTAAAGTAAATACCTGTGTCCGGTTATAGATTGCTTGTTTGCAATTACTGGAAAGTTGCTTTGAATAACTGCTGGAAGCTAAGAGAAAAAAAGAGCTTTTTGAATAATGTAGCAACATAGTCCCTTTTCTTTTCTTTTTCTTGACTTTCTTTTTTGTCTGTTTTATAATTTTTTTATGTGTGTTATTATATTGTAAAAGAAAAAAAATCCGTTAAAAAAACTTTTAAGATGTACTATATGAAACTATTTTTTAATTACCTCTTTTGTAACATAGGAGTACATCCTGTAGTTATTTTTCCACTTTGGTTCAGTTGCATCCACATAAAAACCAGCTCCAGACCCAAAGTCCCAGCTGTCATCTTCACCTTCAATGTTAACACCCCCTGAAACAATTGAGTAAAGATAAATGTACATCAATAATAAGACCAAAGCATTATTGCACATAATTGATTATAAAAAATCACAAATAATTAATCCATTATTGCAAACGTGAATTTGGTTGCGACTCGTTGTGCACCTCTTAGTTAAGTTTTGTCCCTGGGTGGGACTTGAACCTAAGTCTTCTCTATTCTAGTCTGATAAGTTAACCACTACACTACCAGGACCAACTATGCTGGAAATCCAGCTGAATAATGAAATATAGGGCAATTGAAGATTCCATAGCCTGTGTGCATCTGGTCTTTTCTCTGTCTCTTTTTTGACTTGACAGAGAAAAGACTGAATGCATGCAGGCTAAGATTTCAGGCCAATATTTTTCTATAAGGGTCATTAAGCATTTTATTGCTTTGATTGCCTTTCCAGGGTCAATACACAATTTTATGAATTAACTCTTGCAAACTTATAACAACTTTTATAAAAAAAATTAAAACACTTACTTGGACTAGTGTCTGGTCCTACTATCATAATACCCTCTTGTGCGGCATATTTCTGGGCACCACCTTTACCAATGAAATTTTGTTCTGTGCAAGTCAGCCCTATGGAAAAAAGCATTTGTGCCACCCTGAGCAAACATTGGTTTATTTTGTTCTAGCTTCAGTACAAACTTCTTTTGCTTATCTAGCTTGCATAGTGGCACTTTGGGGAGGGGGAAGGGGACTGTGGAGAAGGGAAGAGAAGGTGCTAAAAAGCACTGCTTGACAGGCTATTGCTCATCATGCATTATATAGTGTTGTTTGTACATAGCTCAGCAATAAAATATAGGGCAACGGTGGGGATCCCTGAGCAATACTTTTTCTCTAAGGATCTTTCCTGGGTTGATACACAATTTCATGAATCAATAGATTGTTTGTCATTTGACTCCCACTACCATAATACTTTGCAAATTTTCTTTCTTATTTAAATTTGAATCCCCTTATTAAAATAGTAAGACAATTGGTGCTAATTAACTGAACAAAAAAAAATATGCAAGGGAGTCTGGTAATAGAGGTTAATAGTGCCATCATGCAAATGTGCTAGAGTGACCACAGTAAATCTGTGAAACACTAATTACTAAATAGTACAAAATAGTGCTAGTCAAACAATAGAAAAGAATGGAATTCACATGAAATTGTGCTATTTAGTATTACTAAAGTTTCACGGATTTACTGTGGTCCCTCTATTCTTGAAAAATTATAACAACTTTACCCAAACTAGACCACAATGCATCGCATTTATTAAACTCTGAAAAGGCCTATRATAGCAGGCAGTTTTTTACCTGATAGGTAGTATAACACAGGAACATTCTGTGACTCTGCTTGTGGAGGAATGTACACTGAGAACTTCATTTCACACTTGAGCTCAGAGCTAATACCATGGATTAAAGCGTAAAATATATTGATTTAATAAAAAAGGAAAACCTTTCGTTCATGCATATGCCAGAGGACTCCAGAGGCAGAAGGTTATTTCATATCTTATCTTTTGTTCATTCAATTTGGTAAATTTTGGATTGACAGAAGCAAAAACCAAAACATCTGCAATGAAGGTGTCCAATATAAAAAAAAATGACAATGCAGTGACGTTATCAATAATTATGATCTGACTTTTTAAATCTGTTCTTAGATTTATTTTATTCTTTGTTTGCATGTTACGTCATTGTGGCCATGTTGGTACCATTTAACAAAAGATTTCTCATTAGTATCCATTGTTAATGGTACTACAATGGCCGCCATGTTTTTGTCTTTTAACTCTCTTGAGAATGCTTGCAACCGATCAATAGTTTTTTCTTATGCAATTTAATCTTGAGTCAGACTAAATAATATTCAAGGACAAGAAATCATATAAATAAAAAGAAGACATATATGTACCACAAAAAAAAGCGTCCGGTGCAACTAGGGACACCCCCACCCCCCAGATCCGCCCCTGCTAATTAGTGAGACAAACCACGTGACATTGAATTCTTGCACAACCGTTTTGTCACTCAAACAATGACAAATGTGCAAAGATTTCAATTGAAATACCAGCTGCATTATTCAATAAGAGTAGGCGATACTTTACCTTTGGTGAGAGAAGACTTTCTGATAACCCTCGAAACTGGCGTTGCTTGATACCTCATTAAGCGCCATTTTGTTTTCCACGCAGCTACAGAACCTTAAAATACCGTACTTGAAGACACCTAAAAACACCAAAAATAGTATAAGCTATTCAAGTACGAAATCCTATATACTTCTTGATAAGGATATAAGGAATTAGTTAGGAAAATATCGAGATAAACTACTTGCAAAATTAACCCAAGAACACGAACTCGGTAAAGACAAAATCAATTTCATTACCAGCCCCTTGCGCTTTTTACTCTTTTCGTGACCGCGTGACAAGTCACACCTCCGTCACACCTTCGCGGAATATTTAAATTAGAGGGAAAGAAAAAAGAAGAAAAGGAACGATAGTTGAAAGAATGATTTTGGAAGAAAAATGAAAGTGAAATATTTAATAACAATAACATAAAGGAGATCTTAGTCTGAAGACAACACTAGACGTAACAGTATGAGTATTTCAGCTGCATTTCAGGGGCGATCTGTGACGGGCGGTCAGTACGGAATACTTATGCGGATTTGGAAAGGAAATTGGCTGTAATATGGCTGCTACTCAGGGGAGAAAGCGTTGCGTGACGATACTGAGAGCAGCTGTGGGGGAGACTAGCTGTAATTATGAACGTTTCCTAGATTTGCAAGGGAAAATGGATTCAGTAAAAAATGCAAGTGGGACAGGTTCGAATGCCGACTATGGGCCAAGAGCAGATTAATTCGTTAGTGTGTGAAATGAAATTGGAAAAGTAAAATGAGAGACAGCATGGACTACTACAAGAAACTGAAAGCAAAGTTTGAATTTTTCCGTTCGGAAACCGCAAAGCGGTTCTTACGCCGTGAAAAAGTTGGAAATCATCCAGGAACGATCGAAGATTCCAGAACCAAATGATAAGACAACAACGAAATCATTGAGTTATCTTTTTATAGCGACGCGCTGTCTTTTAGCTAGTCAGCCAGAAATATTTGACATAGTGATCACCCAGTCAGACTGCGGGGGGAAAGGGAAACGGAGATAACTCTAGTTATTCAAGGCGTAATATAGTGAGTTACAACAAGGAAATTATTGAAACTGTTCGTAATTTTAAAAAATCAAAGGTAAAAATGCTAGACGTTTTTGTTTGATTGCTTCAGCTGCCTCTAAGATTGGTAAAAATGTAATAAACCAGTTATTTCTATTGTAGTGAAAAAATTTGTTTGCGGTATTATGTTATCTTTCAAAGGCAGGGTGTGGGGGGGGGGGGGGGTTATTGTACTAGTAATTATAAAATCAAATAAAGGAGACAAAATTCGCGTTCTGATTTCCTATCACGACACGTCAAATCAACAAAATTTAGCGGATCGTGCATATCTCATTGCTTATCATCTCAAGGAGGGTTATACTCAAGAACTTCATGATATATATTTATCAGGTATCGGTTTTGCGTACTTCCGCCGGAAATTCTTCTTTGCCCCCGTGTGTTCGGGATCACACTGTATCACGTGACCCGATAACAATCACATGGCAAAACATTTGTCAAGCTCCGTTGGGGCCGCAGAAGGAGTTTATTGGGGTATGTTGGCAGTCAAGCTGAAAGTTTTACCGTCACTAACAACCTCGTGGGATAAAGTCTAATGTAATCCTCCGTCAATGAATCAATGATGTAGAAATATTGAATGTTTTGGAGTAACTGGAGTTTTATTGGTGACAGAAAACACGGGGAGTTTACGAAATTTCTTGGCGCGCGAAACTAGAGGACAGAACGTGGGACGGGCTCAACTTATGTCAAACCGTGTTATGCTCAAAGATCGAATGAAATCTTAAGGAATATTCAGCAGTTTTGGAATGAAAATGGCAGAGGTAGCGCCACCTGAGATCCAGGAAGGGGATAAATTAAGATTAAGTAAGTCTTTTATAGTGTAGTGGTCTTAAAACTCTCCATTTTGAACGTCAGGTTGCGGTTCGTTTTATGCTCGTTAAGCGGTTCGAACTTGTTGGCGTTAAATTTTTTTGTGTGTACTATAAACTTGTGGTATCTAATTTTTCTGCAGTTCAAAAAAGACTTAAATTACTAAAACAAGAGATTTCCGAACGCAGCAAGAAAAATTATGAACTGGAAAGGGATGTACGCTTCTTTGACCAAAGGATTGCACTTCTGATCAACCATCGCATCGCTGTAGAGGTAAGTCGTGAACAAATATTCTACTGGTCTCTTTATTTATCAAATGTGCGACCAGTGGAACATTATATTACTCCTTAAACCACTGTCTTTGTTTTATTTTCCTTTCCTTGATCTTGTTGTTTGTTTTGCAGGAATTATCAGATCGGATTGGTGATGGCGATCGTCGTGTTGGTAAGCTCCCCTCCTATTATTCCCATCGTCTTGTTAAGCCTTCAGACAATTTACTCGATGTCTTCTCACTTTCTGGCTAATTTATTATTACACTAAGCACATTCTCAAATAACTCTTGGAGACGAAAGGCTTAAATGGTATTTGTTTAGAGATATCGGGAGCCTTTATGCAAGACAGACACGGTTCCTTTAAGATTGAAAATGGAATACATGCTCAAAATGCGTCCTAAGTTTTTCGAGTTTTTGTACGAGTAGTTCTTTCTGCTCCAGCTATAAAACCGATATTCTTTTTAGATCTTGATATTTGCTCAGCCAGTTTTGATTGTTAGAGGCTATCGTATGAAGATATGTTAGTGTTGGATTCATTAAGAGGGGGTATTTGCTCAGAGTCAACTTTTTACACTGTAAATATTTGAATCATTATTTGACCTTTAAATATTGCTGGAGAGGATATGAGTATATTACGTTGACCAACTCGCACGATTTTTTTCCATTTTCCTTTCGATTTAGTGAAGTGAAACTTTTTGAGTGCTGAATAAGGGGCACTTTGACGGTGGCGCTAGAAAATGAAACCTTAAATTTTCATTTTCGTGGTAAATTTTCATTTATTTTTCTTTCGTTCTTTATTCCATTTCCTTATTTTTTTGACCAAATTTGATCAACTCAATGGGTTTTTTAATGGAATATTTGGAGAAGTTGCATTAAAAATGTCCATTTAGGCTGAAAAAGCAGGAAACACTCAACTTAATTGGTCTTGCCTGATGAGTGATTGAAAAAGAACATTTCCCATTTATTTTCCCATTCTCTTTTCAATTTCTTTGACATAAGCACATATGGGATTGAAAATTGAGACAATTCTGAAACAATTGCCTACTTGTTAAAAGATGAAAATACAGAGAAAAGAATGATAGCTATTTATTCTCTTTGACAAATGCTCTCAATGGGAGATCGAGATGAAAATGGTTGAACTACTAGTGCTTTCCTCAAGTAATTTTGGTAACACTTCTTTGAAAACAGCATGGCTTTTTCATACACTTAAATAACATGGATATATTGCTTAAGTATTTCCTAAGATCAAATCGAAGAAATATCTTATCAGACGCGACTAGCGGAGAACATTAATTCAATCATAGGCCAATGTCATGGAAATATTTCGTGCAACTGTAGCTCAAAGCTACGGAAACAGTAATCTCACGATTTCAACATGTTTTTTTTTTCAGGAGTAATTAAAGATGAACTGAAATGTCAGGTGAGACAATTTAATTTACATATTTACTTATTAAGAAATATTTGCATTTTATTAATTTGAAAATTTTACTAATACTTTTGACTTGACATTATTTTTTTTAAAAATATTGTGATGTTTAGTTAATTTTTTTTTCATTTCGGAATGCAGAGATATGGAAACCTCTTTTACTTGCTTCAAACAGAGCCTCATTACCTTGCACAGTTAACCAGAATTGTGGTGTTAAGTGAAATTGACTGTAAGTCTAATAATGAGTTATTAGTAAATAAAAAATAATTTTCTGTATTTGAAATTTTAGCACCACAACTGTCTACTGTTGAAATTACTTTTAATCATCAGTGGTTCATTATAGCTGTGACAATCCCAGTATGTAATAGCAATATTTGGTCTCGCAGCATTTGGTTATTGTTTGTGTGTTGTTTCTATAATTAACGCTAGTAATCTACTGTGGATTCTCGTTTCTAAAACCCAAAATATTTGACCCAGATGGCCCGCATTCACTTACCGTTTATGGTCATCTAACCTTTCTGTAGTTCGACAAATTTTAAATTTTTGCTAGCATATATTTGGTCTCTTAATTTATGGAAGCCTATTTTAATCTTAAGCAATTATTGTTTCGTAACATAGACATGTGTTATTAATTTTTGCAAGCCTTTACAGTAGGAGTAATACTCCCTTTTTTTGGAAAAAAATTAAGAGTTTGTTTATTAAAAGATTATTATAGTCTACATTAGCAATACTTCGTACAGAGGGAAAACCAAGAAAACAAACAAACAAACAATTGAAGTTCAGAGTGAGAATAAGCTTCAACGATAGTGTTCTTAGATTGTCAGTTGGGTAATTGAAGAAAAATAACTTTGAACAAGACATATACTATAATATCCAATGAATAATTATGCTTTTGTTTTACTGGAGCCTTACTTCTGCCCACAGTCACGATAACCTATAAATTAATTTTGAGTAAATTAAATTGATTTTGTATTTTTACATTCAGCCCTATTACAGCCAGTAATGTTTTCATTGTATGGAAATCAGTACGAGCCAAGAGAAGAGTATCTATTGCTGTCAATGTTTGAGGTGAGTTGTTGTAAACTTATTAAAAAAATTATTATTATTATCATTATTATTATCATTATTATTATTATTTTCTAAAATATATATTTATTGAATTAGTTTTTACCAAATAGATTTTATGGTTATATATTAATAAATATATTTTTATTGTAGGATATCATTATATAAGTTTTTCTTTCTTTTTATGTATATTATTATATTATATAATATCATAAATATTATTCTAAATTATAGATCTGGTTACTGACATTATTATTATGAAGAATAGGATTTGATATATATTATTCAGTGAAATTATTATTATATTTATTATTATTATTACTATTATTATTGTCATCATTATCATTATTATTATATTTATAATAATAGATTATATTGAAAATTTTGGAATATAGTTGATAAACATGGCAGTGTTCAGTTAGCAACCTTTCTAAAACACACGTTTACACTGACAATGTTTCATTAAAAAAATACACATTACACGATATCACTAAATGCCATTTATTTCCAATTCAGATGCAACTGTTAAATTGCCAGCTTGTCAGGTCATTTGTATAAGATATAAATAGCAAAACCTTGACATTTGAACTGGACTTTCATTTTCTAGCTTGTCTTGAAGTATGAATTTGAGGAGTCAGAAAATTTTAATAGTTTGCTGAGAGCAAACACAGCAATCTCAAGAATGATGACAACCTACACAAGGTGAATAATATTCAAAGTTCAATCCAAATCCAAATCGTTATACCTATTATTTGATATTTATTTATGGTTGCAAAAAATAATAGACTCTTTCAGCTTGGGCATAATGTTTTCACACATCAGACTATGTGTCATTCCCTAGAGTATTGTTTCTTTGTTTAACGGTTAAGCATGAGAAGAAATAGGGAAATGGATATAACTCAAACAAATAATTAATACCACTACCTGGTTGGCTCATTTAGTAAAAGTGTCAGAGGTGGTGGTTCAAGCCTTGTTAGGAAAACACTCAGGGTCTTAAAATAACTGAGGAGAAGGTGCTGCCTTCATAATAACAACTACAAACAGTTAGACCTTCACATGGCTCAGATGACCACGTTTATGGCGGTCACGTCCCTATAATTAACTAAAGATGTTAAAAGAGGACCACAAGTTTATCAGTTAAATTACCTTCAAGTGTTATCTTCTATAGACAGAAGTGATTTGATACTTAACTTTAATGTTTTTTTTAACTAATTGTGTTGCAGAAGGGGACCTGGACAACAGTATTTAAAACTTGCTCTTGAGGAACCTCTTCATGAGTTGTTATCACAACCTGACTTGCTGCTGGAAATCAATCCTGTAAAAGTATGGCAAAACCTCTTTAACAGCTTTAATTTTTTTACTCTTCAGTTCATAACTGAAGTTTATAATTCTAAATTTTCTCTTCTACATGTATAAACATAGGTCTACATAGAAGTACATGGTTATCCAAAAGATGAAAACACACAACTAACTTATGAAAAGGTATAGATTTGTGAGTTTATTTCTCTACTTAGCCAAACCCAACCTGGTAGATTGGGCTTTTATTTATTTAGCTTTTACCTCACACCAAACCATAGTAAAAAAAAAAATGAAAAAAATAACATTACATACCTCGTGGTTACTTTTGCTGAGGATATTTACTTAAATAAATAGTGATGTAGTGTACCCCACTTATGAGGCTTCATTTACAGTCCGCTGATGTTTGGTGGATATGGTTTCATGAATATCATACCAAATGACAACATTCTCTCTCATACAAAATATGCTATGTATTTTCGTTTGCTATTATTTTTTCCTTTTGAATGATTAAAAATGTACTGAAGAAATTTTGATATTCTAATGTGCTTATTTTTGCTTATTCAAAGGCAATGGATGACCCAGAAGTTCAGTTAAAAACAAAAATTCATATCCTTGACATAGTATTATAGCATAATGTCCATTTTCACCTAATGAAATTAACAGATGCTATTATTACAGCACAACTTGCAAAAGTATGCTTCTACATGTATGCCTGGGTTCTGTATATTAAACTGTCATATTTCGATGAGAAGCTGGTTGGTTTTACTGCTCGTTTGGAAGGGAAAAGAATGTGCATAAATTTATTTAAATTTAATGCGGTCATCTTTTGCATGTTGTGCTGCAAACTTTGGATTTAATTTTCCTTAATGATATTTAAGTATTAAAAAGCTTGTAGACATAGCATCACTGTTCCTTGGAATCATTGTTAGTTCCCTGAATAATGTGCCTTATGGTATAAGATGGTTGTGCGGTGCAATAAGAACACTTGCAACGGTAAGTTGGCTCTTTTTACGTTAAGTGCTTATAAAATGGAACTTACTAACAGAGCCTTCTTAGCCAAAAATCGATTTTTTTGTTAGAAGGGTCTGTTTACAAGAATGAAATGACAATGATCAAARTGTTGATAATGATGGTGATGATGGGGTGGTTCTTGAAAATGTTGACAATGAAGGTGGTAACAATGTTGATAATGAAGGTATAGATAGTGGTGGTGGTAGTGGTAGTTGATGTTGTTGATGATGATGATGTTGACATTGATGGTGGTGCCAATAACAGTGGTGGCAGATGAAGATGAAGTTGATGATGATGTTGACATTGATGGTGGGACAGTGATGTTGGTGACAGTGATGGTGGTAGAAAAGATGATGGTTGTTGATAGTGTTGATGATAATAATTATAATGACCTTGATGGTGACATTGGTGCAATGATGATGCAATTATCAGTGGCAGATAACTTAATTGTGTGTCTGTTTTCTTCGTTGAAAATTAAAAACATCAAATAAATTCTCATTATAAACAGGAAAAGTATCCAGAAGCGCAACCAGAACAAATCAATGCTATGATTGGTGGATTCTTTTTGTTAAGATTTTTAAACCCTGCCATAGTTACTCCTACAGGTAAATGTCCAAAAGCTGTAAGGAGTATTATAAATAATATTTATATAATATTAATAATTGATTGATTATAAATATATTATATATTATATTTCCCAGGTGCATACTCTTAACAGTCAGTGCTTTCAAAAAAGATTTACTGTCGTTCTACTTTTACCGTGAACACTCAAATTATTTGTCAACCAATTAGAATTTAAAAAACAATAGAATTCAAGTTACATGTATTGAGTTATTCAAGGAGATGAAATGTTGAAAGAGAAAGAAAGAATAAAAGTATATTTACATGAATAAAGAATAATAAAAAAACTTGAGTGTTCATGGTTAGAATAGAAAGACAGTAACATGGTAGTGGTGATTGGGGAAAGAGGTGAGGAGGAAGGTGGAGGAGAAAAATGGGGAGTTAAAGGTAGGAAGAAAGCTGGAGGGAAAGAAAGGGGAGGGGGAGGTGGAGGGGGAGAATAAAAAGGGAGAGGGAAAGGTTAGGGGGATCAAGGAATGGAGGGAGGAAGGAGGGACGATCTATAGAATACACTTATTCTTTATGCTTTGTAATAGAATTTGGAAGAATTGCCAAAATTAGTTTCACTTATTATTTCAGCACATATGTTGGTCGAAAAACAACCTTCACAAAATATGAGAAGAAACCTGACCTTGGTAAGCTGTGATTTGCACAGATAAAGAGATGGATAGATAGATAGATGAACAGATAGTCACAAAAAGACATGTAAAGAGGCATAGGATTCTGTAATTTTTGAATAAGTAGGCTCTGTTGACAAAATAGGCAACTGAGTTTTCACTAGATTAATATAGTAAAAACCCGCGAGTAAGAACCTACATTTTTAGAGTTGGCCTAAACAGGTTCTTGTTTAAATGGTAGTTAACACAATTTTAGGCTATCTAGGTTCTTAAATAGGTTCTTATTCCTGTGTAAAAAAACAAATAAAATTCAGCTACAAGATAAAAATATGGTAATCAGCCTATTTTTCAATCAACCCCACCCCACCCCCATCAACAATACCCTAGAACATTAGTTGATTTATCTGCACAGCAATGGCAAGCTCCTATTTTTCCAAACAGGATTCTAACTCAGCTCTGCATCACTAAATGATGGTTTTTGAAAATAAGAACCTGTTTTTCATTTTCTAGGCTAAATAGGTTCTTGTTTAAATGGGGGTATAAATGACAAATTTGAGGATAACAGGTTCTTAATTTTCAGGTTCTTACTCGTGGGTTTTTACTGTATATTTTCCATTAATTCTTTTTGATAATGAATATCTGAAAGGCTGTATGAGTATAGACCTATGTTTTCCCAAAACAGACTGCATGTCATTCCCAACAGTATCATTTCTTTGTTGCCAATGTGGATACAACTCAAACAAAGAATCTTATTTTCTAAGGAGTGACACATGGTCTGAAATGGATACACACTACACCAAAAAGAATAAGGTCTGAATCAACTGGCCGAGAATTTGAGAGATTGATTAAGTGTACTACAAATGGAATCATGTGCAATTTATTATTATTATTTATTAATTAATTATTATGATATTTAAATCTTTACAGATCGCAAAGATTCTTCAAAGCATGGCGAATAAGAACATTGTGACAAGTCATTTCAAGGAGGAATATATGCAGCCCTTACAGCCGTTTGCCTTGGAGCACGTTGACCTAATGCAGGTTACCTACAATTTTGACATCAAACAAAAATATTTACTGCTTAATCAATTTTCAATCCAGCTACTTTAATTGTTGTAATTTATTTCATTTTTTCATATTTCAGAATTTTTTAAGAGACCTCTGTGAGGTCTCAGATTTTCATGAAAACTTAGAGGTTAGTGTTTAGCCATATAAATACCCACCACACAGCTCTTTATAGATTAATCTTAGACCCACCTCCCCTTCCCCTCCCTCACAGGTTCTTGAAAGCATACGTAAATTTTCTCTCGTTCCAGTTTACCCAAGAGGCAAAATATCAGAAATTTGTTAAATTAATGAGTTAAAATGCGGCCCTGTTATATCTTTTTGCCCCCTAAGTAAATTGAACAAGACAAAATTTCCATTAGGAAAATACTTTATAGAGGTTTTGCACCATCACGTGACGGCAGCCATGTTAGATGGCAGGAACAATACAATTATTTTACGTTCTGCCATCTAACCAAAGGCAGTCCAAGCTGGATTAATGGGCCAGTACATGATAGTGCAAAACTTATATTGGAATTTACTCCAAGGACCATAGAACACCCTTGAATGTGGAGGCTCTTAGATTGGAAAATATAAGAGACTAGACTAGACTTACAGTGCATCTGAAAATTGAGTGGTTATCAGGGAACATAGCCACCTTTCCTTCCCTGTACTTGCCTTGACCCCAGTACCCAATCCATTTGGAATTTTTGCATATTTAGGGCATATATTTATATGTTGTATTTCATTTTTTTGTTTCATTTTAGATGGAACATTATCTTTCTCTGTCTAAAAATATCAAGATCTCAATAACACTGAATGAGATGTTCAAAATTCATGAGCTGATGCTGCAATACAAAGATGACTTGGTAAGTGATGACATCATCACCAACATCCTCACCATGTCAATGACAACAATGATAATAAGTGAAAATGATGATAATGAGAATGACGTTAACATTGATGTTAATAATGACAGCAATAATCATGATAATTATACAGCTTCTCATTAATCCCATATAGGTAACTGTCCAATTATTTTCTTAATTGAACAGGTCTTGTTGATATGGGATTAATTAGGCAGCTGTATAATTAATAGGTAATGGGATTTCATGCTCCCCAATCAAGAAATAATTAGACTTGAAAAATTCCTCTGACTGCCAAATTGAACTCGGTCTACGGCCTCATCCAATTTTGTCAGTCCTTTGAATTTTCCTCGTCCAATTATCATGGAGTCCTATTACATATACTAATAGAATGTGCTCTCTCCATCAGGTATTACCTGTAAGTATAGAAATACTACTCAAGGGAATGAAATAAAAAAACAGTGATATACACTCATCTGGAAACAGAATGAATTGTAAAATGTATCATAAATTTTTTTATTATTTTTCATATCCCAGGCATTAACAGAGGATGACCCATTACACATACTTTTGGATGAGCTGGGTCAAGCTGAGCTCCAGATGTCAAGTTTAGATAATCTAACTATACATTTGCCTTTAACAAACAAATGGGGCCCATCAAAACAAGGTACTTTTGTTTAGTTTCCTATGCTTTATATCCAGATAGTCTTTGTAGTGCTTTCTCACTGATTGTGAACCTGTTTCCACTCACACACTATCACTACATTCAGTGTTCCATGCAGATAACACTGACTCACACGTTGATTTGTATGGAGGGAAGAAACCAGATAACCTGAAGAAAACCCTCATAGCAGAGGAGAACAGCACATACAAACAAACTCAACTCGYATGCGAGTACTTGGTGAGGGAACTTGAATGCAGTCCCCCTGCCACAAACCTTCTAGTAGCATTGGTTGAGAGGTTGACTCATTAGCAGCATAGCTAAACCACATATGGTACCCTAATCTTAAGCACTACTCTTTGCTCGTTTAGTTCTGAGGACAGAATCTATAGAGTCAACATTCAGCAAGAAGATTGAGAGTGAAGCTGTAAAAGAACAGTGCAGGAAACTGTTGGTTAAGATGTTATGCTTGGTAAGAATAGGCTGTTAATGGGGAGTAGGTGAAGGATAATATTGGAAAATATTTATAATTATTTTGACATATTAATGTTCCCTTGCTCCTCTCCTCTCCTCTCATTTTTCATTTTTTATCCATTCAGTGGTCACACAAAAACCATTTGATCAAGGCTGCAAGGTAGTTTCAAAGGATTGTTCAAATTCAAGCCTTGTTGCCTGGATTGAATACTTTGTATTTGATCCATGGAAAGTGGTGATTCCATTATTTGGAGACTATTAAGATATGATTTTTCAAATAAAAGAATCAGATACCCTATATCAATACAAAGTAACAACCCTGTTTATTTTCAGCGCCCCTGTCTAATGTTGGAAAACACCTTGTATGATGCAGTTATGAAGGCACAGGACGAACCCAGTACTGATTGGGGAGGACTGGCTGAGTATTTATTGCATGTATACCAGGCAGTTGAAGAATTTCATTCTGTATTAACCAATGACGCACTGTATTATCAGGAGCTGAAGGAGGTTTGTCTGATGTAAACTTTCTGTATGATACTAACCAGCTGAGCTTTGCCAATGTTTTTGAAAAGAATTATTGGTTCACTGTTTGGTTAGGCTTTTTCCCCAAGCAGGAACAGAGTACAACGTAGATTTCTCTTGTCGATTGAAATGGAATAGGCCCTTTGCACTGAGTAATCATGTGCTGATTAATTCACTGAGAGCAAATGAATGAACATCTTGATCCACATGGGTAAAAAATAAACACACTTTCTACGGCCTGTTTTGAGAGATCGTATTAAAACTGCATTTTGTAACACACTGGTTACACATCGTTTCATTCAGTTCTTCACAAATAGCTAAAAAGAATCACCAATTTGAAATAAAATTTGCTCACCAGTACCAACAGGTGACCTTGAATCCTGTTGTTTTGGTCTACTAAGAAGAATGGTACGGAATGGCTGGGAAAGGAAAATGAATAGTGACGGAGAAGAAACGTTTGCCTTTAAATATAGGAACTTAGACCTGGAGAGAATAGTGGGAACCCTGGCACTTCGTGATTTTATATACATACGCTACTTGAAGTACATTGCACATGTTTGTAGAAGACCAAATTAAAATTTAACGAAACAGTTGCTGTTTGCAATTCCATCTGCTAAATATGTTAGAGATCCATGGATCAAAATTAGTCAACTACTTAATGTTGATAAACACCAAGCTAAGAAATCTACACAAGACAGAAAAGTTCTAAAAGGACTACTACATCAGAACTTTGGCTCTGTGTAGACTATATAGTCCCTGCTGATCAACTTATAGTTGGAAATAGCGGAATGACACTGATACTGATACTGATAACTGCTAAGGGCCTATTCCAGCAATGAGTCCAACTAGCGTTTACGATCAATTTAAAGTATGGAGAGTTTGTATTTCATGGGTTTTCTTGGCAGAATAGATTTTGTTTTAATGGTCAACTCTTTTCTTTGAATGAAGTTTCTTGAATAGTTCTTGGTGGGCTACCTGTGTCACAGAGATCCCAACTATCAAAGAGAGTCAAAGAAAAAAAAGTCTGTGGAGGTCAAATGATAGCAATTTGGAGTCTGACATTGTAGTATGAGAAATTGTCACTGAAATTTGCTTATTTTCTATTAATTTTACCAGGAGGCTCAGCTCAAACTGTTGAAATATGAAAAATTTGAGATGGAGCTTAAAAGTTTAGAAAGAGTCTACGAGGTGAGATTCAACTTCATGATATAAAGTACTTCTGGTTGCTAGGCAGCTGTCATACAGCTGTCAATCACCTAATCAATCAATATTACCAGCTGACTTGATTAGCCAATCAGAGGCTGTTTTGGGACTCTTATGGGTTAAAATACTGGACCTTTATCATGAAGAATTAACAAAAAATACAATGACCCTCACAGATATAAAACAATAATTGGATGAGGCTGAGCATGTATAAATGTATTATCTGCAGAAAAACCTACAGATAAAACCTTTATCAGGGCAAGAGGCAAGATACTAAAATGTAAAATTTTTTTTTTAAAGGCTCTCGATAACCATGGAAATTTTCTCCAGGAACAACTTAATGCTTACAAAGGTAAACTTTAGTTAATAATGGTCTCAATCAAACGTGCTTCTATTGAATTCACTAGAGCTTTGTTAATTACAGTGAGTAGTTAATTGTATCATGTTTTCACCCAACATTTGTCATTCATATACTAAAAACATTTCGTTTTGTCTGACACATAATTTTTCATAGAATACTTAGTAGTTGTGAGAAACAGAGCAGCCTCAATACCTAAAATACAAAAGGTAGGTATATCTTGAAGTCCCAGTAGTTTTAAGAACAGAAAGAAATTTATGATAGAATCTCCTTCCTTTTCCTCCCATCCCTCCACAGCACACCCTTACACCCTCCACCCCCCCTCCCCCACCTACAGCACCCACCAACTTACCCATCCATCATCCTCAGATTAGCTTTCAAATATTCAAATCTATGTCATATTTATGTAATGAAGAAATGTGATTTTGAAATTTTTTTTAAACAAATTCAGAGAAGTAGTTTTGGACTTTCCTCTTCACAAGGAGGCCCAAAGGTGGTGAGGTTTTCTTACAATCAGCTTGAGAGAGATGGAGTGATCGTAGAAACCAATGATATTCCAGAAAAAAGGTATATACTCAAGATACAAGATTTCTCATGACTGTAAACGGTTCTGACACACCATGATTCATGCAGGGGTTTGATGAAGGATCAGGACAAATGAGCAAATTCTCCTGCTTAAACTACCAATAGTCCCTTTCACAGTTCCCTGCACCATCTTGAAAGGTAGCCTTGCCTTTGCATCGAAGCGAGACGAACGGTGAGCTTGCAATGATTGAGACCTTTTTTAAACACCTTGAACAATTATTCACATGTCTCTATTATTGCAAGCTCACTGTTTGCCTCGCTTCGATGCAAAGGCAAGGCTACATGTACCTTTCAAGATGGCCCTGAGAACTGTGAAGGGGACTATTATAACTTAGTAATTTGTAAAATATTCCACTCTCCAGCTAGTTCATTACCTTCTAACATTTCAAAACTTAATGAAATCCCTGTCCTTGACACCAGGATGGTGATTCTGCATTGATAATTAATGAGCAAAATTTCCCGGAGTGTTACTTGTTGATTTATTTGTTTTGTTTTGTTTTGTTTTGCAACAGAAAAGCTGATATCTCGGTGACAGTTTCATCACCAGAACCAGGAATTTATACAGTAACTTTATTCTACAAAGGTGAGAGATGATCAAGGATGGGTGAAATAATGGGAGGGCCCAAAGAGAATAATTAGAAATGGCATGGGAAGAGGGTGGATGAAGGAACAATAGGCCAAGTGAAAGAGGAAAAAGGCTGAGAGGAATGGGAAAGGAAAAGGATGGGTGGGATGGGAAAGGTTGATAGGAAGAAAGGAAGAGAAGGAAAATAGGAAGGAAAGATTTGAAGAAGATGAGATGAGAACGAAAAAAGACGTTAAAATTAAGAAGCAAAAAGGAAAGAAATGTAGAATATTYTACAAATATCATTACTTTACTTTAGGTGAAACAAGCAAAGCATATGAAACAGATCTAATTTTAGAAGAGCTACTTGAAAAACAACATCTAAGCAATCCGGTAAGTGATAGTCTAATACGCACCAAGTTTATATATGTGTTTGAAAGTAGATGTGTGTGTGTGTGTGTGTTGGTATAGTTATACGTGTGACCTCTTCGGCTTGGGGTAATGTTTTCCCATTTCAGACTACGTGTCATTCCCTTGAGAATAAGATTCTTTGTTTGAGCTGTATCCATATTCATTTGTCTTCTCATGTGCAACCGAGCGCAAACCTTAAACAAAGAAATGATACTCTAGGGAGTGACGTGGTTTGAAATGGGAAAACATTACGTCAGAGCCGAAGAGGTCTATTCAGTTCTTGTGCGTGCATAATATGTGCGCATGGTAAAAAAAAGTATAACTAGGTTATTTGTGTGTAAGTAAATATTGGTGTACATTAGGTAAAATATGTGTGCATGGATTTCATTATGTGTGTGCAATACTGTGCGCAATACTATCTATTTGTGCGCAGTAATATGGAATTTTTCGTAAGACAAACAGTCAATATACGGAGATACCGTGTCGTGATCATAACAGTACGGTGTCCAGGCATTTTGATTTACAGTCATAACTGTACTGTTACCGTAATAATGTAGTTTTTCCACATTTATACGAAATTTACTTTATATTTTTCTGTAAAGCTCAATCAAACAAACAAACTTCAATCAGATCCCTCCCACTCCACCTCTTCCCTTCGTCATTACGAAGTAGGCTTGTAATAGAGTTTATTAYTCGCGTGATTTTGATGACATACTTTTAACTTACTCTCAAGGGAAGTAGCAAAAGTACTATAACATAATGCTTCAAGTTTACAAATATTTTGGTCATACTCGAGACCACCATATAAGTCGAGATTATACTTAACTAACACGGTTCGGATTGGCTCCAGTTTCAGTCACTGTGCGTTTGGTTGTTAACGCGACTAAGCTTATTTTTTTACAGCCTCTTTTGAAATGCTATATTAAACGTGTTAATTGTTGAATTACTTATTAGAAGCATTTAGAATAGAAAAACAGGAAAACGCTCGTAGAAATGACGTGAAAACAAAGGAAAAAACGGAAGAGAAAGAAATGAGGAGTGAGAAGGAAGACTACATGAGCAGGGAAAAATTGCTCGTAGAAAAACAAGAGAAAAAAGGGAAGGAAGGAAGGAAGAAAAAAAAGAAAGAGAAGGAGAGAAATTACAGAGCAAATCAGTTACATGTAGAGTATTAGGAAGCACACTACACCCTCTGATAAATATGGCCCTTTCGAACATCCCTTTCAATATTTTATTTAGTTTTCATGCTAATCTTGATCAACAAATATCAAGAAATATCAATCTAAATCAACTGGACAAACGATTTTATTTTGATCGAGTCTGTGTCAATAACCCTTCAACTCGATGACAATAGAACATCTCTAAATCTCCTGAACAAACAGAGATTTTTATCAAGGCACTGCGGAAACTTGATGGCTATCTCCTCGGAATTAAGAACAAACTCAAAGAGAATGTATTAGTACTTTAGTATCCTGTATCCAGCAAGAAGTTGATGTCCATTGTCGTTCTCTTCCGTTGAAATCTCACTTGTCATGAAAGTATAATACTATTTGACACTCGACGAGGTCTGCCATTCTTCTCTTTGTACTTTCACTGATCTTGTCAGTATCGTACCAGCTGCACAAATTCTCTCCACTAAGTACTTCACCTTGGTCTTCCTCTCCTCTCCTTTCCTTTCCTCTCGTTTCCTTCGAAAAGGAAATCTTTTTAAAATTTTCCCACGTTGTGTGGCACGTTAGTTTTCGATTTAGAAATGTTAGAAATGTTCGTGCAAGAAATTATCAGAATACATATGTTTTTTTTAAATCGAGAAAGACAAAAATTAGCATCTCTTCTCATAATAAAATTGAATTACTCGCGAAATTTAATTTTTCTAAGGGAAAAATTATCGGATTTACTGATGTATCTATTTGTCAGAATTAATTTTCCAATTTGCAGCGTTCGGTTATTTAATAAAATCAAAATTACAAGTGACTTGGCTCTTGAGAATGTCATAAATTTACAGCAAAGTTACTCGAATTATGAAAAAAAGAAGGATATTGAATTGAAAGCTTAAGATCTTTGATAAGCCTCGATGAAAATCAAGTAGACAGAGTGAAATCCCATCGCGACCTTGAACGGACCAAAATGAAAGAAAAGGAAAAACCGAAATGAAAAGAAATCCAGCGTTGAATAAAACATGCCGTTGCGATTGTAAGAAGTAGTTTTTTTATTATCTTTATGAAATCAAAAGGATTACAACAAAGTCTTTATAAATTTCCTGTGAATTCCCAATCAGAGGAGCCACAATTAACATCATCGAACCATCCACCAATGAGCTCCAAAGCGCACAGAAAACTTTGCTTGATTTGTAATTAAAAACTTGGGTTTTTTCTTTATAACCCATTCAGTTATTGCCATAAATACTTAGGCCTTAATATAACAATAGCAAACCATTCGACTCGGAGCTTTCAATTAGGTCATTGGCTTTTGTCCTCTGTATTTTGTTTGTCGATGTTTATAGACAGCAATCTTTTGTGCTCTACCCAGATTTCTATAGAAGACTAAAGTGGTATTGTCTAGCTGTAAACATTTCTTTCAAATTCTCGCAGCCCTCGGTGAATTGGATGTCAGCCCTCATCAAGGCCAAGTAATAAACGGTTACAGTGGAAACAAAAAACCCCTTTCTCTTGTTTGTCGCGTCTTATCGTTGTATGTTATCAGTACGAGCACGACCTTCCTCCCTTGACTCGTAGCTAACCACAAATTTTGGGTCGTTGGAGTTCATGTTTTTGGAATCTCTGAGGAATTCTTGCGCACTCCTGGGGTAAGAATACGTCAAAATCGTATGTATTTTAGTCTTAGGAATAATTGGGTGTTTAAAATTGATGAGAAAAACAAAGCGACGAGAACTCGAGTTGGCGGTTTCGTGAAGGTTTCTATCCGTTCTTCGAACCTTCTGTTTCAAATTCGTCTTTGAACTACTTATTCGCCTTAACAGATGTTAGGATTTTTGTCTCTGTTTTTTTTAATATAAAAATCTACGAGCTCTCGAGAAGAAGGACTCGAAATTTTCAACAACGTTTCCACAAGCGGAAGCATCCTCATTTACTCTTTCTATTCGATTCCAAAAAATCAGGCAAAATATTATTTTGGGTCGAAGTCTTTGTTTTACGAATTCGACTATAAAACTATGACGCATTGTTTAAAAATTCTTGGACAAAGTCACTACGATCTTCGATGAAATATAGCTTTTTAAGCGTATACTGTTATCGCAGGTACATTACAAGGGAACACCTTGGCTCTTGCCATTACCACACCGTGATTTTCAAGGGCCCATTTTTATGCATTTCTTTCTGTAGTGATTTATAGTTCTCACTAGGCGTAGCCCTTAATTCAACAGAGCATAGAGAGCATTGTTTTTGAACCAGATAAAAACCAAGGTTCCTCGGTTTCTACCTAACGAGTTTCCCGACGACGTCACAACCCTAAGTTCATAGTTTACAAAGGGCAGATTCGAAAACATGGAATTTATAAACGTAGTGGATATTATCCATTTTGGCAAGACTTCAATGAACAGCGCAAGTCGTTATAATTAATTTTAAGTAGCGCAAATCTTGTACTTTCGGCGCACTTCTTTCACAGCATGTTATAAATAAATATTAGAAGATATTAATTAGTATTAGTTACAGTGTATTGAAGTATGTGGCGGTGCGTACATGCTGATATAACGCGYGCTTTTCATCACAGTAGAAGTTGTCCCCAGAACATAGTTTTTCCGATTTTTGTAATAGTTTCATATTTAGAGAGCGCTTTATCTAGTCAAAATAAGATGAAACTTTAAGTTAAGTAGAGAATAAGTAAGGAGTAAAGGAACTAAGATTCGAGTCCCCCATATGCAATGACATCTTGTAGACGAAAAAGTGTTAGAGCTGCAGCCTCATTTGCAACTCCCTCGGACTATTCTTGGTCACTTGGTTTCTTATTGGATTAAATGAGTGTATTGTATTTTAGACTACAAGATATAGTCAGATGGATAATTTTGGTTGGTTGTTTCCAAAATGCTGTAGTAATACTAATTTCTGAAGTCATACGTTATGATCATTCCCACCATCATCATCATCACAAAATACATCATCACCACAACTACCAAAACCATCACCATTATCATCATCGTCATCGTTATCATCATCGTCATCGTTATCATCATCAACATCACTTCCATCATCATCATCATCATTATCGTTATCATCATCAACATCATCATCACTTCCATCATAATCATCATCATCACTTCCATCATAATCATCATCATCATCACTACCATCATAATCATCATCATCAACATCACTACCATCATCATCATCAACATCAACATCACTACTACACCATCACTTATGAGCAGCATCTCCGTCATCATCACAGCATCATTAATATCATCATCTTATTACTATCATTATCATCATCATCTTTATGAGAGCAAAGTATGACCAAACTGGCTTGTGTGCTGCCAACAAGCAAGGCACGAGGATCCTAAAGTAGTTTGATCCCCACCTTTGATCTTTCACACTAGTTTCGACTTCTCTCTAATCCCAGTGGCGTGAGCTTTAAACGGAGTACCATGTACCGCTTGGGATACACCCTCTGACGAGAATATAGCTACTTAAAGCCTTAATGATAACTCGTCGCCACTAGTTACCATCATTATGGTCGTTGTAACCATCAGCATCATTATCCTCATTATCAGCATCAACATCACGATTGACATCAGCATTATCACTATCATCGCAGTCACCAACATCCGATGTCAACATGAAGATCCGCATCACCTTCATCACCATCACCACCATCATCTAATAATAATAATAATAATAATAATAATGATAATAGTAATAATAATAATAATGGGGTACTTCTATAGCGCATTTCAAATATCTCAATGAGCTTTACATCTATACGTTTGTTTCCAGTTTCTTAGATATTTTTAGTCTTTTTTTGTCACCATTATCGCCGATTTCAATCAAAATTATTAATCACAGTCATTCCACTCTTATTCCCCTCTTTTTCCTTTTTATAATCCTTTTATAGCATGAGAAGTGTTTTCTTCGAGTAACACTTTTTTATCTATTCATTTTTACTCTAAAAATGAATAAGAAACCGTAAAAATTGAATAGTAAAGATTTTGTTCCGGTAATTTTTTGGCTTTCAGACAAATACAACTGTATACCTTGATTACAGACTCAGGGTTGGCCGCATTTTAGCGTCACAATATTTACGAATACCAACGGCAAAGTATAGAATGCACAACTTCGACAATACGATAAATATTCAAATTGTTTTCATGCAAAATCAAGGTCTGAGCAACATTGAATTGGAGTATTAATTGGTGCGCTGTTTCTAGATACATGCGCAAGGTAAAAAAACCCATTCTCTACTTTCACATCCCCATAATGCCTTGCGTCTTTGGGGGGTAACCAATCAAAAAACTGTCCCAAATTGAAAGGTTTCTTAATTGAATTTATACTATACCTGCTTTTATCTGTACAATACTGATTATCAGTTTATTCCAAGTTATTTTTGCGTGTACAGATCATCAAGAGTTTTGGTCTTACAGAAAATGTATTGACTTAAGAAAAAAAAATTAAAATCTACCTTAAACGTCTTCAAACTTCTATCTTTTTCTGTTTTATACTTCTTCATTTTATTTTTGGATACCAAACAAGGTATTGTCAACATTGTCTGATCAGCCTTCAGCAAAATGAGTGGGTTTTTACCCTCTACTTTCCCCCCAAAGACGCAAAGTATTATGGGGATGTGAAAGTAGAGAATAGGTTTCTGTCTGTGTCTGTCGGTCGGTCGGTCTGTCTGTCTGTCTGTCTTCCGGTCTACGTAAGTCCATCGGTCGGTCGGACAGTTGTTCTCTGTGTCAATCGGTCTGTCTAACGGTTTACGTAAGTCTGTTGATAGAACTCGGTCAATTGCGCTTGTCGACCTATTTTTTCAGGTCGATGCGAGTCTTATAAGTCAGTTGGTTTGTTGTCTTTCGACCTATATACTTCGACATTTGAAGATTGTAATACACAATGTATTCTTACGCACTCGTAGAGTTTTGTTCCTTCGCAACCCGGGAAGGGGGGGGGGGGGTGTTCGCATGGAAAGCGCAACAGATTGCTGTACATTGTTGAAGAAAACTAATTTTTTGAACTTCTTTAATAATACTTAGAAGACTGCATTTCGTTAAACGCTGCAGTATCTAACAGTAGGTATGTTAGACTCTAGAGCGTCGAGAAAGCGCAAACATTTGGAGCGAAACCCGAGCACATTTGTCTGGTATTCCACTTTTTACGATGCTGATTTATTTTGCGAAATCTTCAGTTATAGCTCTCTGTCGCGCGCGTGTATTAAAGGTGAATGATTTAATACTTCAATTTCCCCCAAGAATTTTATCCATTTGAAGCAAAAAACGAAATATCCTTCGTGCGCAAGCCTCACCGGTTCGTGCGCAACTTAAAAATCAAGTGCGCACTTTGGAAATTCGCGCCCGTTTTTTTTCTTAGTCCCAAGAAAACCTAAAGTTAGATAGTTTTGCATTGATTAATGCACGCGTCAGAGCCGTAATAGATAATATATAACGAGGAAATCAAAATATTCAAACCTTTAATGAGTCTCATTGGAAGAATCGGTGGATTTGATCTATAAGTCGGTATTTGGTCTGTGTCGGGTTTGTATGATCCCTCTCCAGATAACATCTCGTTAAGTCGGCTATTTTCGCTGTTTGTTATATACCCGCTAAATACGTATGGATTATATTTAAGGTTTTTCCCGCCTAAGATTAAAATAAAAATCAAACTCCCTTTCTTTACAGCTGAGGTCGTTTGTTGACTGTCGATGTGGGGAATTCTTTATTGACTAAACGCATAAAGACTCGTTTGTCTAATTTGAGGAATCATTGTACAATTTGAGTTTAGATCAAAGTGCAAATTATTTATCGAAAAAGTACATTTATTTTAATTTTAATTTTTCTCTATTTTGTTTATAATTTTAAGCTATTCCATCTTTTAAAGCCATCTTTTTTTCCTGTTTTGCTAGATAGGGTTTATCCTGTGTCAGGTTTTCAGTATTTACATTCGCCTTTATTAAATATGGCTTCATAATTCCAGTACAATTTGTTTACTATGAGATTTAAGCCTTCTAATTTATTGTCGGCTTCTACTTTTCACAGCTTTTTCATGTCAAGATAGGAGGACTTATTTTTTTAGCTCAATGTAAAACCAAAAACAGTTACCTAAATAGCAATTTCATGATATTCTTGGTGCCGATTTCTTGTAAGAAAATTTTTTTTTCACTTCGCAGACAGCTGTTTCAAGCTGCCCGAGTCCGAACATTTTTAGTTCATAACGGATAAGGAAATCCTCCCGAATTCGGCTTGGTACTTTGAACTTTCTTCAAATTCTACCGGCTAATTCTTCTCATCAAATAAATTTTAAATATTAGTAAAAGTTTGTTTTTGTTTTCAATTTTTGTCCTTACAAAACGGATATTATGATTCTGCTCTAGCGACGCAGTTAATTTCAATTCTGACAACCCCAAGAAAGACTTTACAGTAAAAACCCTCAATTAGATTCCATTGTTTGGCCAAGATAGTTAGATTTTTATTTAATTCAAGGCCGCAAGTTTAATTCCAACTTGGCGCTCGAAATTCCTCATCCAACTAATTAACTTCTGTAGTAATAAACTCTGGGAAAAAGTTTTTTTCATTTAACTGTAGTTAATAAATCTAACCGTCGCCGAGCGAATCACATTTCTTTGTCACCTAATCTTCGATATTTGGCTAAGAATTTCATTCGCTAGGAAATTCGCTTGACTTTTCCTCATCTTGTGACGTGAAATAATATCCGTCTAGGGTAAATTGGCTTTGGTGTGTTATTAGCACACGGGGTCGGTTAGTTTAAGCTAAATTAACGCAAGGCTTGTAATTTCAGTGCCATCACTTTTCGAAGCTCACTTCCTCTTGAACTAATCTTAAAGTTCCGACATTTTGTTTACTTTTTGCCAAAAATGATATCAACACGAAATTTTCTGTCGTTAAAGATGGCTAGGAATTTTATAAACCCTTCGAAGTCTTAGCGACCTTTTTTTGTTACCTTTAGATCGCTTTAAAACACATTAAAACGTTTTATTTACTTCCTAAATGCATCAAATTTTCCTTTTTGACCATGGAGAAAAGTAAATTACGAATCATCCGACATTTTAGTTTTAATTTCTTTAAAATAAATATAAGTTTTACAAGAAAATTAAGTTGAAAATCTACTGCTTTTATGTCTCAAAAATATTTATTTATCTTTTATTTGATTTCAGTATCAGGGGTTTAAATTCTGCTGAATTGATTCCTATGAATTTACGGTAGTTTTCAAATTGTCCCACATCAATTAATTCTTAAAAATCTAGCAAAGTACTTAGTGCAATCATGAATGAACACGCTTGAATTTACAGTAAATGAAAACCGCGCAAAACTTTCCTATTTGCCACACGTGTGAACTAAAATATATGCCTTGAATTTCGTATTTGAACTTTAGCAGGTGCCTGTTAGCTCTGAATCGTACCACAAGGGAAAAAAATTTTCTTATGATTCCAGGCCAGGTCTAATCTCTAAAGAATCTTTTCAAACTTTCAAATACAACATAAGTACTTCTAATTGTTATAGCAAAGGTAGATATTGTGAGTTGCGCGCGTAGAATTGGTATTGAGTGTGCCATTAGGGTTAGAGTCTAGTAGTGAGTGCGTCAAATAGTGGAAATGTCGGGCGCTTTTTAGTTTCATTATGTAGATGCCACCTTATCTAGTCGTTGTAGCCGGCAACACGTGTACAACCATGCTTAGATGGCGTGTGCAAGATGAACTACATCAAGAGCTAGAATTTCTTTTCTTCGTGCAATTACGATGTGGGGAATCGTATTGACAAGGGGAAAAGCTTCCAGTTTTAGAGTCTTGATCGGCAAGTTAATCTTAATCGCGCAGGAGGAAAAAACAACGAAAACATGACGTTATCTTCACTTATTTTGGTCTTTAACGAGACTTTTTCACTTTTTCTGTTCTTTTCTGTCGTGGGCGGTAGACCCACTGGCCTACCTAGAATAAAAACTATCAGATAAATCGCACATGGAATACATATCCTTTTATTGATTATTTCTGTAATGCTATTCCTTAGCTCGTATATCTAAGTTTATTTTCAGTGATTTCTAAATAGTTCAGTCGAGAGACTTGGAGACCGCCATCCAGCGCAGCGTGGGGCCAGAAGTAGAATCTGTAATGAACCTATCTACACGTGTCTGTGAAGTACTGGCGTGCTCTAGGTCTCCTTAGTAAGTGAGATACCTATCAGTGTTAATCACCAAATTTACTCTTTCCTATCTAGGAGATCATTTCGGTCAAGTCAAATGTGCCAATACTAAGTGATGCGGGCTGCATTGCCAGTGTGTGTGTGTTACTAGGGGATTTCTTACAGAGAGGATTCGTTATCGAAATTGCAAACCCGCAGTTTCGTCTGTCTCTCTTTTGGCACCTGTTCCTCGAACCAATCGAAATCATTTAACATTATTAAGAACTCTGTACGTGCAGTTTTTAAGAGCTTCTGGGCCAACCTCTTCCTGTGCAGTTACAGGGAAAGCCAAAAACAGTCTCTTCTATATTTCCCACTTAAAAAATTTATTTTGAAAACGATAAAGCATTCATGAACAAAAATTAATAATTGATATTAATATGGGCCGTTGGATTTATTTTTCTCTTTTGTTGTTCTAGAATATTCGTCAGTTTATATAGTTTTTTCAAAAGGTTCTATATTCTGTCTTTATTTACGTACTCGCGTTATTTTCCATTTCGTGTTCTATCGTACTGTTACGTTACGTGCAGACAACACACGTGGGAATGTACCAGGCGTTTCTCTGTTGTTTGTTTGGTCTTAGAAAGGTTAGTTTGTCCCTAAGATCCTCAAATGGCCTGGCGAGTTGATTCTAAAGCAATTGTTTGGAACGCTCATTAACTGTTAAACATTTAAATTTCAACTTCTAGAATTAGTTCAGTTCTATCAAAACTCGAGTTGTTATTCAGTCTTTTATCGTGGAATATTGTCTTAAAAATTTCTTCTGAGAAACAGATTGGAATCTCTCTTTTTTGCGAACGCTGGGTTCGTTTGTTTTTCTTTCAATTCAAAGTTAGTTTTGCACTGAATAGTCAGATCTCAACGCCAGCCCTGCCACAAAATATCCTAACGTTTACCCCTCTTGATAGTTACTGACATAATAAGTGACTTCCCGTCATCATAATAAGAATAGCATATTTTTCTGACCAAGGCTGTCAAATTTATTAGATGTTGTACTGATTTTCTCTCCCAGTTTCTGGAAAGGTTATTGTGGTTGATCTCAGGCTGAGCGCGACCCTATCATAACATTTCTGGTTTCTTTTAACAGGTGTAAAAGGACACTGTTAGTAACCAACAACCTAGAATAAGCAATATACCCCACAGTATATCACGTCCCAGATGCATGCCGTGAATGTCGTTATCTTGCTTTAAGTTTTGCAGCCATAACAATGTTCAGATGCAGCCTACAAAGAACTCATCCTACATCCTGCTGTCAGTACGACATTTGTACCTTTACCAAGCTTATTTTTATTATTAAACAGTCTAGTCGTTCACTTTAATCTTTAATGAGCAGGAAGGGTTAATAAGAAATTCGAATGATTTAGGCCGACGGGAGGCCTGTTTCGTATGTTAATTATTAGAGTGAATTGAAAACCTTGTCCACTATCTTATCTCAAGCCCGTAATTCCCCCTAACGTACTGTACAATTTCACAGGATTCAATTAAAATGAGTTTTCAGGCTGTTAATCGGAAGGGGAGGTTTAAAACCAAGACAAATTATGTTTTTGAGCTCTCAACTTGAAAACACTTGTACGAAGGCATTTTAATTTTGCCGGGTCTGTCAAATAACTATTTGGTGTTGATAAAGTCAATGATTTTAATTATATCTAGAGGTCTAACAAGACTTGAATATTACAAACTTCAATAGAAGTGAAATAGAGAGTTAATCCAGAGAGAAATTTCAAGAGTTTTGTAATCTTTTCTAACGTTTCGCGCAGTCAAAACACAGCTGTTTTAGTTTCACTCCTGGAAAAAAAACTAAAAATATTATCTCGAGTTTATCTTAATTTCAGGAAATTCTGGATTGAAAGAATAAGGGAGTATTACAGTTTCTTGCCGTGAAAACTAGAAACTCTTAAATAATATCAGTCAAATATATTCCTACATGCAGTCGCTTCCGCTATTGTGTTGCTATGCAACCAAGATAAAACACCTTAGGCAGTTTGGCGCTATTCATTCATTTATGTTAGTAATCTATTCATAGAAACGTTTAAAACAAAGCTCTTTCATCCTTGAAAAATGATCGAAGATAACTGTGATTTTGATTTAGAACTGAATAAAACGATAGCAACAAAGTTTGAAAGAAATTCCTTGAACCAAGTGTACGTTTGTTTCTACCTCGTTTTGCTTGCGAGTCAATTTTTTCGGGTTTTCTTGTAAAACGAACAAAATTCAATCCTTCAAATGATCTTTTTTACTCGATCGTATAATAATGATTATATCCTATCCCTTTTGATCGAAATCATTGACCTAAATTCATAAATAAAGCGAAACTATATATCACTATCATCATCATCATCTTTACTTATCATCACCCGACGATAAAGAGATTTCATCAGCATTCAGAAAGATCCTCTTAGATTTACATTCCTTTCTTCTTTTTATACCGAATCTTATGACTCTTTAGTTTCTCTTATAATCATTTGCTTCTTAAACTCTCCAAGATCTTTGTTATACTTCTTAGTAATCTGGCATTTAAATTAGATTGTATCTTTATCGGTTGCATATAGTATCCAAGCAGAATTGAAAACATCTTGCCTTCAGGCGTCGGAATTCACTTGATCCGTTCGCCGAAGACGATTTAAATTTCCAGCAAATTTAGCGTCATTTAGATTCTTTGTGGCTAGAAAACTACAGTTTGTTTAATAACATGGTTAAGGAATAGGCCGGAGAAATTCTTCGGTATTATTGAATTCATTTAGCTTGGACTAGAATAATAGCTTGATATAAATGAATTTAAATTTAATAGTTCAATATCTAGCTAGTTATCTAACTGTTTTGCGTATTGCCTTAGTAACTTAAGTCTTATTTTAAATTCAATGATATAATAAAAGTCAAAATACGATTTTTAGCGTTTTTAAGTAATAGAGTCTACTCGAAAATTTTTTCAGAGCGTAACGGAAAGACAGAGTCAAAGAATGAACATTTCAAAGTTTTTTCCTTGAAAACTTAAGTGAAATTTATGTCGTTAATATTGAGGTCAATTCGGCGTGATATCTTATCTCGCATCTAACTATAAATACTGGGAAAAGATCCTAGTTTATCTTCAATTACAGGAGCGATTATTTTTGTTCTCGCAAGGAGAGTGGTACAGTAATCTTTGATAATCGGTTTTATCTGATCCCGTCATCAATATTTTCTGGCTTCTAGTTTCCCTGGATATCGTCGAATATTCACATTAAAAACTCCTTTTTTTACACTCCAAAAAGGGGAAAAAAGGAAAGACACGAAACAGGAGTTTCTTTTTCATTCTTGGCAAACATTTTTTCAACGCTTCGAAGAAAAAAAAAATTCGACAGTTACATTGAAGATTAGCCTTGTGAACATGTTGAAAATTTCGAAGCAAATTAATATCGGTATAGATTTCATTACAAATTCATTGGTAGTTTATCGAAAAAGTGCTTAACGTAAAACAATATTAGGGTAGAAAACGTATGATTATTACGAATCTTAATTACTAAGAATAGCGATTTAATGACGAGCTTTGCTCTAAACTGATGAGTGTTTTGAATATCTTCTGACAAAACACAACGGTTTGGCCATAATAATGTCTCGTGTGCTCTGCGTTTCGAAAACAAATATAGCGTTCACCACTTACATCAATTAACAAAACTCTCGAGTGAAATCGACTGAAGGAAGAAATCGAATAAAGCGCGCACTAGTGTATCAATTTTCTAGACTTTTCCTTTAATTGTAGAACTTTAAACGCCCATAGTACACGTATTTTTTATTTTAATTTTTTTTCGGAAAGTTTTGACGAATTTTAAGTTTTTGTTTTGAACTTATTTTAATGTTTTGCCGAAAAAGTTAAGACATAACTCGGGAAATGTAACTCATATTTCCTATGCGTTATTTTGAATTCCGGCAACTGTAGCTCTGTAGCAGAATCTGTAGCAGATCTTTCGGAACGATACTGACAACATAGCGGCGACTACGCCGGGATAATTTACAACAATTCCTTTTCCGTGTTTGTTGCGCACCCAAGGCACCGCTCTTTCCAGAGATCAACTTCAAAAAATCCCCCGAAAATTCTAATCGAGATTTATTTTCCCGAGAAGAAATTTGCCGCCGTTTTCTATCATTTTTTCTCGTTAGTTTTCCTTTCTCTGTTTCGTCACCCCCCGCTTCTAGAGGAAATTCCAACTACGTTCCCCCTTCATCTTTAATGTACACATCGCGGTGTTTTGGTTCCCAACACCTCGCTTCCGAGTACTTAAAGTGAAAAGCCGAACCTTTAGCCCGCTAATTACTGTCCTTATTGCTGCCCTAGCTCTATAAAATTATTCTTCTTACGCTTTATCGAAGAAAAAATTTTTTTTAGAGTTGGATTTCATAAAAATAAGATGTACGGTATCAATTACGGGTCAAATTAATTTGTGGATTTTGCATTATTTTTAAAATAATACCATATATTTTTAATTTTCTTTTGAATCCAAAGGGTTTAATCAGTCGAAAGACAAAAATATTTTTATAATTAACCTGCGTATTTGAAGTTTTCTTGTTTTGTAAACTGAGGGTTTGGAAGAAAAACTTTACCGTTACACGCGAAGATAAGATACAATACATATAGCTTGTTTGTCGATCTACGAAAAAAAGTTTTTAGGATTCTTATATCTTATATTTTCCCATTGTTTCTCGCTTTTTGGATCCATTTTAGACAGACAAAAGACCTGAAAAATGAACTTTGATTGATCTGTTATGACATTTCTCAGTCATATTTATCCTTTAAATTTAAAACATGGCGATTATTTTCTTTCTTTTTTAACTCCAAGAACCATCTACGAAATTTTAAATTCGAAAATGTACGTCTTCCCTACACGAAGATATTTCAAGAGCTCTTGATTTTTCTCATTTCCTTCTACGTACACCCGTCCCTCCGGGACTACTTTTTTTCCTTCATATTTTTTCTGATTCCCATTCTCTATCTTCCTTTTTTTCGAGTTATAATTTTTTTGTTTTTGTCCCTCCAATTTATTTTAATTTCCATCACCGGAGCCGACTTACATTTTGAAATAAGCCATCTCGAATTCACTCCTAACGGTTTCCAAAACACCTTAGAATAATCAGTTTTCAGCCATAAATTTACAGTCGTGTTGATAACTGAGAAGATTCTACTATAGAGAATCGCGCGTCTTTGTATTGCAAAGCTTATCTGGTTGTGTCAATATTGTATTAGGGTTAGTCGAAGTACGAGAGGGCTGACCTTAAATTGCTGTTGATTGCGATCTAGCAAAAAAAACCCACTTTGATCGATATTGAAAACTATTCACTTCAAAGAATTCCGTACAAATAGAATATTGATGCGCTCATCGTAGCGCCTATTCTAGTTTACTTCCTTTTTTCCACGTAGTTATTTTTGACTCAGTTTCCACAATCTTTTATCGGCTCAAAAGTTGGGCGATATGCAAAGCATTTTGATGATTTGGCTATTTACAATTTTGTCGTTGATGTGTTTACAGTTTCTAAATTATCTGTAAGGGGGATTGTACTTCCCTGGCTTCCTATACGTACTCCACACTTAATTCCCATCGTGTGTTCGTTTTTCTGATGATTTTATTGATTGATTTAATATATTTTCAAAAAGGATATAGAACGCAAATTTAGAAAACATACATTCTTCTAAAAAATATATTTTGATAGACACCAGTTTTAATTTTTTTGAGTCTTTGTTATTAAATTCCAGACGCATATCCTTCTTTAATTTCATTCTATTATTGATTGCTTACATCTAGAAAGCGATTCTTTCTACAAGCTGTAACTTAGCCGTAATTCAAAGAATGAATTACGATTCAGGAGAGTTGCGTGCTTTATGCTTTTATCACTTATTCTAGCTTTCAGAAGATTTTCCCGTAATCCTAAATGGTATACAACGAGATTTCAGCCCACAAATTCTCCTAAACTTTTACAATATGTTCGTCTGTTTGGTTGCTTCTTTGTTCTTTTTCGTGTCCATATTCTCGATAAAGAATCCTTTATAAAGTTAGTTTATGCAAATACAACACGAAAAAAACCTACAACGTTTGATAAATATCCGGGAAAACGCTCTTCCAACTTTTTCACTCATTCTGTATTCATTATTTCACTTCGAATATTTTTTTTACAATACACACAAAATTAACACCCAGCATATTTTATTTCATTTTATTTCTTAATTGTGCATATTTTTCAACGTTTTATTTTACCACAGAATTTTTACAATTGTATGATCCTAAAAAAATTGGTATTTACTTGCTTTCAACAAATCATCCACGTTTTCGAATGAAAAAAAAAAGCTGATTTCAAAAAGACTGTCACATTTTTTCTTCACTCAACTATCAGGTCTCCAGTATTCTAGAGAGACTTTCCCAACGTAATGAGTTGTAACTCCAAGATTTTACGACTAGTTTTTAATTAATTTTTGACAAGAGCAGGCTTGAACAAACATTGAAGTACAGCGAATAACATTTTAATAAAGTGTTTTTGAGCTAGTTTTTCATTTAATAGTAAAGACAATTTATGACATACAGTCTGGTTTGATTTTACAACAGCATGCGGTGATGAAGATATTAGCTTCGAACGCGCGAAAATCTACAACTCGCCTAGCTTGAAATGTATACACTAGTATTTTGGTTTTGATACTTTGATTTATGATAACAGTCGTATTTTCTTTTGGTTCTGCGGTTCGTATTTTTGGCGCGCTCGGGAAGGGAGAAACTGATGTATGTAATTATCAAAGCGACTGGGGGTCGCGTTCGTCGTATTAAGCGCTAGTTGACTTTATAATGGTTTTTGCGGCCGATAAAGTGTTTTCTAAACCTATCGATTCACAACTAAGCGGTGTGATTAGCATCATCAAATCAACGCGTACATTACCGATAAGAACTAAAAAAGCCAACTCGAGATTACTATAAAAACCTAGAAAACTCTTTGACCTTCACTAGACCGCACGAGTATTTCAACTTTTTCGTTTCTTTGTTCTTTCCAAGTTCTTTCACCACGAGTCGTTGTTAGTTCTAGATCGGTGCTTTGCCATCCAAGGTTTTTTTTCTTGACCTCATTTAGTACTAACTTGTGGTCTAGGGCATAGGGTATTTACACCAGAGTTGGTTTGTAGTTTGCATCCCCAGCTGCGTTTTGTTTACACAGAATATAGCAGTGTCCCTCACTTTCCTGGGCTTATTTGTCTAACTAGTGACAAGATAATTTCACCAAGATGTACACGTAAAAAGTCAAGAGCTTTTGATGCTCTGTAGCCCACAAATATTTCATTAATATTTTTTACCGTTCAAGATTTTAATTTTCGTACTTATCACACACAAAAAAAAAATGGAATAATAAAGTAATACGCGCCGTAGGGTTTAAGCACAATCGATATTTTTGTGCATTTTTAAATGTCCCCTAAGTGTGACGGGTATATTCATAAAATTGGTTCGTTGTTTATCTGTCGATGGAGCTCATCTCATAAACTAGCCTCAAACTGCCTTCTAAATTTCTCTACCTTCAGCTAAAAGACACAAGTCGTTAGTGTAGTTTTTATTGAAGTAAATTCCAGAATCAATGGTGTAGTTTATGTTGAACAAGCTTCTAAAAGAGTCATGGCCGGAAAATGACGGTGAATTATAAAACGAAAATGAAACGTAATCTTTCCGAATTAAGAATAAAAAGGAGCTACAGCACCATCCTAATTAATCCAAATTATTTGATGCACTCCGAACCTGTATATATGGGTACAATTTGTTTAGCTGCGTAAGCAAAGATAGCACTTTTTACCAACCTGATCGCGGTTTTTAGTGTAATTAGAAGCGTGTTAAAACCAGTCAAGGAGAAGTTAATGGATGAGAAAAGTGCACGGCTGTAAACAGGACAGTTTGCCACTACTATACTCATTTATATGATCAGACCCTTACCTTTTGACTTGGACAAAAGAAATAAAACATTATCGCCAGGTTAATTTGTTCTAGGTTTTCTTGCCCGAGGGATTTGGAGAGAATTAAATTAGCGCAGATATGGAGGATTCATTTCGTAGCGTAATAAAATGGACTGCTTGATTCCCTGCGCTATCGGCTACTGAAGATTTCTATCTTTCGAAGACATATCCATTCTAGCTTCAGACAAAAGCGCTTTCTTTAGATACAATTTAAGGGATTGAATATAAAGCGACTTGATAATAGCTTGAACAAGGCCATCAYTTTCAACACGAACAATAAAATCATGTTCTATAGTGATTTATGCCCTTTAGATTTCAGCAACTACTTTTATTTTTTATTTACCACTTCAGACCAAATTGCCGACTTCTTTTTTCACCTAACTACTATCAATATTTTCCCCTCGATTAAGCAAAGCGATCGTATTTTTAACCCTGACTTCCCTCTATGCATACAAATCTTACCTTAGTTTATTCAATACGATAGTATCGTACACTAAAATGAAAACATTCCGCAAACCATTTAGATTTTACGAGTGTGGAGCATAATTGAGTGGCGAGAAAGAAGACTAGTGCACAAGCCATTAAGTAGTTTTAAATAGTTTTTAAATTATAGGATATGTGATTTCAAAATTTAACCTTGCTAGAACCTTTCCTATAACTAACGAATGTTGCGCAAAAAAAATTAATTCATGGTGTGAAAAAAGAAACTCCTTAAAAAAAAGTACAGCGTTGAATTAATAAAATTCTACGTGATGTAATTTTTTTTCTTTCGGTAAAGAATTAATTCTTTAACTTGTCATCGCTAAGGGTCAAAACTAACAGTTTTTCTTTTCCTTTTTTATTACGACGTAGATGAACTCTAGTCCTTGAGTAATTTATAATACATTTGGTGTCGATGCGGTGAGGGCGGGAAGCAGTGAATCTGTTTTACAATCAAGATTTGACGGGTTCCCGCATTGCCAAACGATCAGCATCTCAATTTACCGTATTTTGTCCATCTCGAGGTGGGGGGCCAGTCGCGACCTAGGTGGCATCAACTTCGTAAATAATGGGCTCCTCAAATCTTGCTAAACATACAAGTCGGTCAAAAACATTCTCTTGAAAATTCTGCACTTGTAGTCGGGAATAGAACCAAGGTGCCTTTGGCTTTTGTTTTTAGGAATTAAAGATGAGATCTTGCCAAGTAGACATGTGCTAAGTAGGCTTGACAGAATTGCTAATGCATATAGTTAACCTCTGGTCTGGGGGCTTTTAAATGTACTCTAAAATGGGAAAAAGAACTTAGGCCGAATAACCGCAGTTGGGGTATTAGCTTTCTACGGAGCCATATCTCCTGGCTTTTGACTTTCAAAAATCTAATGAGTTTACCAACACATTTTAGGAGATTTGTTCTACTAGCTGGTTTGTTTGTTTTCATTGAGCTTTACGCAAAATTTCAGCAATAGCGTTGAGAATATATATATATAAATTTTCCCGAAATGCGTGGCTTTACCTAACGATGACTTTGCCTTTTTGTTTCAGGCCCTTCATCTAAACGACTTCGTAGTCGTTGACGTCAAGAAAACTCTACTACTTCTGCATAAGTATTTCGCTTGTAATTAATATTCATGTTTACTTAATGATGATCTTGAAAATTTTATTTTTGGTAACTGACTGAAACGCTAATGACTCATCAGAGAAGTTAAGTTGGGCTTCGTATTTTCTACATTTAAATGTTTTGGACAAAGTCTTCGATAGCTTAATTTATATCGGAGGTCGATTATAAAGTGTACACCTCCTTAAATTGTTGTCGATAAAGTTTGGTATTTTTGTTATCAAGTTGTATGAGCATATTTTGGTTGTTGCGTTTTGAATTCGTGAAGGCATTAACACCTTTGGGATAGTAGGAATCCTAGCAACTTCGAGCAACTAATAACACGCGTACTACGTCCGCACTCATCCTTTTATTGGGCCGATGTAATATCTGCCTTCGTGAAACAGTTTGCTTAAAAAATCGAATATAATATAAAATTATTATGCCTGAGGAAAAGCAGCAGAGGATCACAGGCAACTCAACATAAACATTGGATTTTCTTTTGTTATAAATGCGGTCAATCCTGTTTATCGATGCAAATAAGGCGGCAAGCGGCTAGCTCGTTCTCTGTCCTGTGGCTAGATATGGTTAGGGGGTTTTTCACGCAAAAAGATCTCCCACTGATAGTCGGCGTCACTGTCGAGTCCAGTTCCTCAAATAGACTTGCAACAAAAAAATTGCACAAAATTACTGAACGTAGTATTTCTAAGGAATCCCCCTCGGTAGATTTCTCATGCAGCRCTCTTCACTAGAGCTCTCCAGATCACGGTGCGGTAATTATTTTGGCGCGGTCTACAAATTAATTAGCACGGCGCGAAATTTTCGACCAATCAGATACGGGTAGTGTCTAATTAGATCGTTTGTAACCGCGGCAACGTGACAACCTCAAAAGAGAATGACTCGAGAATCATTAGCGAGCGGTGACTAACCACGTGCACCCGATGTCAGCAAGCAAGTGCCGCCGGCGCGCCAACACCTGCATATACGGCTAATTTTCATCATCGCGGCCAGATGACAGCTTACTTCCTCTGCATCAGTGATTAAGAGTTAATTGAAACAGCTGACAAGAGTAACGAAAGCGCTGATTTGTCCATGTCAAGATAGGATCTTGGAATCAAAATGTCCTAGCCCGCCCCTTTTCACAATACCGCCTAACAGCTGCCAGATTGGTCCGTGAACTGTCAATCATTGTGACACCAGTAACGCAACTAAGGGACCATTTATCAAGCCTGTCATCCTCTCGATTCTCATTGGCTGGATTTGGGACTAGTGCAAGTCGACGCGCGGCCGGCAGATAACACACAGAACCGTAAAACTTCGAGTCAAAAATAACGTGTGCTCTTATGATCTGTGAAGGAAACTTGAGACTAGCTCTCACGTCGTGTACATACTGAGCGAATACACAATCAAAGTAAAGCAACTGCTTGGAACTTTTGATAGCCTAACTTATCCAGAGACTTTCTAGAGGTAGTTTACTTGAATTTTCTTCGATATGTCGGCACCAACTATTTTAACTTCTTCGCCGAATCCCGTTTCTGGAATTGTAGCCACGAATGGCAGCGAAAACTCTAAAAGTAACGGTGCAGACCGCGTAAAAAGACCTATGAATGCATTTATGGTGTGGAGTCGAGAGAGACGACGAAAAATGGCTCAGGATAATCCCAAGATGCACAACTCTGAGATAAGCAAACGTTTAGGAACACAGTGGAAGCTGCTTTCCGAACAAGAGAAGCGTCCGTATGTTGATGAAGCTAGAAGACTTCGAGCCTTACATATGAAAGAACACCCAGACTACAAATACCGACCACGAAGGAAAGGAAAGACCCTAATGAAGAAGGATAACAAATATGCTCTCTCTATGTTGAGTGGGCCACAAGGACAGGTTCAACGAAGCGTAGTACAAAATGCGGCAGATCATTTTGCTCAAATGAACGGTTATGCATATAGTCCAGGAATGAACTACAACCCGAGTGGGGATCCCTATAATATGTACGGTGGACATCCTCTATCACCCCATACTCCTACTCAGCTACAGCCTTCGATGAACGGTATGCCTCCACATGTATCGTACGCTATGACAGCCGCTCAGATTTATCCCCCAGCAAATGTCACTAGCCAGACCGGTAGTTACGCTTTGAATGGCAACTCTGTGATAATGAATTCTCTTACTCCACCATACACGCAGCACAACAGTCCTGGTATGCCGATAAACATCAAACAAGAGTTGCCTAGCCCTAATGGCAACCCAGTTCYAAGTCAAAATTGCGCCGACCAACTTGGGGACATGATAAACAGATATCTACCAAGTGAGGCAGCATCTTCTTCTACGTCGTCAATACCTACATCGAGCATTGTTCTATCAGGTCGCTACTCACAGCACTGGCAAGACCACACTAATAATCCTAATGGTCATCCGACGATGGCAGCGAATGTACCTAACAACGTCTCAGGACCGCGTGGAACTATGCCTCTATCCCACATGTAACCAATTTATTTGAGAGAGAGAGGACACTTTGTAGGCTTCCCTCAAGCTCAACGTTAGCACACGGTAAATTATATTTTTTACTGTATAAAGAGAATGTCGACTTTGGATGATGTTTTCGTCCGGTAATATAAGTTATTGAGTTATTGCCCCGAGAGCATATGACACTTGTATAAGAATAAGAAATTTATCGGTCTGGGCTATTACAGTTCACTACGGATTTGTGAATAGCTTTGTCGTATCGGAGCGAACATTTATTTGGAAGATTTCGCATAATAAAGAAATACTACGCCAACAAAAACAGGAAAAAAAACTTTGTTGTAAATGTAGGAAAAATTAATAAACCTCTTTATGAACGGTTAGAATTTCTTCGTCAAGTTCTTTTGGACTTTTAAAGGAAGTTTGCAAGACTTTGAAGATTTTACTTCGTGAAGTGTGGTTGTTTGTGTTAGCCCTTACTCAATAAGTTCACCTTGATTTGTATATTATTGTTATTACTCCAACTAGTGAAAAGATTCCAACAATCCTTGATTTGAAGATCGTGTTTGTATATACATAAATATGAGTATCTAAAACTCTTAAAGGCCACATTCTTTTTATTTTCATTTTGAAAGAAAAAGCACATTAAAAATTTCCAAAACTTCGTGGGTGATTTTGATTATAAATCTTTCGTCTAGATACTGCAAAAATGTAAAGTTTCCAACCGCGTTCGTTTAACGCGTCGTGAGTCGTGATCCAAGTTCGCGCGCTTCAAATTTGAATAGTCTGTCCAAAACTTAGTCAAATGTTTTTATTTGATGTTCGGCCCATGAAAGCAAAACAAAAGACAAGATTTCTCCCTTCAATACAGGTATATAGGTAGAGGAGGGAAAATCGAGGTTTTGAATAAGAATGCAGAGCAATTGAGGCGTTGAGCTCTGAAATGGACGTGTCACTTGACAAGCCAAGCGTCAAATGAGGTGGTGACAGCTCGTTCTGGGCTGTGATTGGTCGAAACCCTAAGTGTTGATGGCAGCTGGGTTATCAGGTTTTCCAATAATAATCATTAGTACTTATTATGAGTGCATTCCGAGAATGCACATCTATCTAGTCCATTACAGTGCGTGTAACGTACTCGGGATTGCCTTCAAACTTGGCCATCTTGAGTTCGTCACGTCAATTTTAGAATACGGTTCTGACGTGTAGRATAGCGGAAGATCGTAAGACCTTTCCAGAAATGAGCTCCTATGCATGAACAATCTTCCTGTTTCCCCTGGTAACCATGGATACCCACAGCCTACAACATCTGCCAACCTCTTGACAGATGACAGCTTTCAAAGAAAGTTCCCAAGTTTAAGCTAGTTTCTGATGATGTTGCTTGAAAACATCTTTTCCAGCAACCAAGTCAAAAATCGCTTTTAAGTAGCGGGAAATGAGGTGGAAGCGTAGACGTGATGCGTAATTTCTGTAATCATTGCCCGGGAATTTAGATGGCTGATGACAGTTTTTCAGACCGCAATTAACACATGTTTATCCGTTTCGGCATGAAAGAGAGAAAATTTGCCGTTTTGATGTAAAAATAGCTCTCCCTTCATTTCCTTCATTGCCAATGCGTTAGCGCGTATGCGGTTGACAGCTTTCGAGTGGCATTCGCCGATGTTTGAGGTAGAATTCGAAAAAATTCTTTTCGGTAAATAACATCTGGCCCAAGTCCAATATTAGGCAAAAGAAGGGCTATCCGTTTATTGGTGTTTACTGCTAGGCTGTCAAAAAAAGTGGTGAGGGCATTGCTAGTTAGCTTGAGCAATTACTGCTATGAGCAAATAAAAGTTTATTTTTCGAGCGGGATGTGTATATCTTGATACAGTTATAAAGAGCTAGCGATGAACTCAGAGAGCGGAAAAGGATTGCCTACGGAGAGAGATTTGAGATGCAATTACGCGTCTATATTGATTCAAGTCATCATGCTAAATAGCTCCCGAACTTCAAAGTATTATAATGAATTTACTTGATCGCTTGATCGCAAACTCGTGATTTTCGTATCATTAAACGTATTATCAACAACTTCGTTTTATTTTGTAACCTTGGATCTATAAACATTTTGGTCGTCCGCGAAACAACCAGAAAGGAAGAAGGCATTTTTAGTACTTGGTTGTTAATTCTGTCGCTCTAAGATACGAAACGAATTAATTCAAGTTCATTTTGTGTCCTTCCGTTAAATCATTAAATTTGATGCGTTATCGCTTGTTGTAGTTTTCGAAGTTTCGGCCTATCTGATTCAAAAAGCGAGAAAAAGTATCCACTTCGTAATACTAAAAAAAAAACGTCAAAAATTACAGTTTCAACGTGATTCAGTAATTTATGCTCTTCAAACAAAACCAAAATGCTAATTTTCTTGAAATGTGTGCCGTTCTTTTCAAGAATAACCCTTGTTTTAAAACCTTATATTTTTTGTTCTTTCAAATTGTGTTTAAGTTGCGTTCATCTACCTTTCGTCCTATTATGCCAACAAACTGTTTTCCGTCTTTCGTTTATAACTTTATTAGTATGTTGAATTTGATGATGAGGGGACGAACAATACAGATATTTAACCTTTGCTTTGCCTCTGAAAGCTCGCTAATGTCGAAGCTATAACTACGTTTAAACCAGATCTTTTCAGATACACAAGTGATATTGATTCAATTAGCCTTAAATTCATTGATCAACTCTAAGACTCTGGGCAAATAACAGTACTTTTCAGGTCAATTTATACATTTAGTCTTGCATTACCAGTCTTTTGTTCGACATAGACGTTTGAGCCTAAACTATTGTTTAGTTATGCATGTAAAAAATCCATCACAAAACATTTATAGGAAGGAAACAACTGGATAAAATTTTATCTTTCTCAATCTGTTTTTGTTTAAACTGGTCGTTCGCGAGCTTTGCTACCTCATTCCTAGGTCTCAAACTTGGCCGACAAAAGTGTCGTCCGTACGAAAACGATGTAACTACGGTCGCCATGTTTAGGCTCTTAGTACGAATCACTATGGAACCGATTGAAACACAAACACAAGATAAAAATATCGAGTTATGGCAACATTGCAGTGGGAATTGCAGATTCGAGTCGTAAAAGAGGATGGATGAATATAGTGTTAGATCAAAGGAATATCGCAAGATATGAACGAATTCTAAGCTTCGTGGAGTTTGTTTACAAAATCTCTCTCCGGACTTTCGTCTTATATTTTCGTCTTTACTCTCCACAAGAGCGATTCCTTATTCTCACTGGTTTTTTCTTTTACTATCTCGAAAAAAAAGATTTAATGTTTAGATGGTGAGCGGAAGAGTCTGAGGACTGGGCATGCTGGGATCAAACGCCTGCAGAGTGAAGTCGTGGAGGGTACATAACATAAAGCCAAAAACTAATTAAACTCGCAGTTTGAGCTCAGAACTAGCGCTGCCTGAAATCTTTCTCTGTCGCCGACAGCTAACTTCACGCGATATTTTCGATGGCTTCAATCATGCGCGTTTTTGTCTTAGTAAAAACGATGGGGGATTTGTGATCAGTAGTTTTCGCTGCTGTCAATAGACAAAAATAGAATATCGTTGAAACAACTGCTTGAACGAACAGTGATAACAAAATTGACAGAAATACAAAGGCTCAAAAAGTTTAGTAAACTTTCGGCTAATTTAGATTCCCGTTAATCGAATTTTCGCCGTCAAAAGTCTTGGTAGATATTTAATAAAAGTATTAAGTATTTCACATACGGTTCTGTTTCACTATCCGTGATAACGAGCATTGAATCTTGAGAACACTAAATTGTAATCCGCTAAAATGAAATCTTTTCTGTGGCTTTTTTACGCAGTTGGGAAGCTTAACTAGCTGTTCCTAACAACTCTGCAGGCTTCGCCGTTCTCACAGATGTTAACTAAATCAAGGTGTAGATATTTTTAAATGTTTTTGCGTTCGGGGTCTTCATTTTTGATATCGCATGCAATTCCTAAATGATTGTTTTGTAAACTTTAAAGGAAACTAGCACGCGTTCATATCGAAAGGAAAATTATGTTATTGGATTAATAAATTTTTCTCGACGACAACAAGAATTAATATATTATTGTTGCTGTTACAATGTTTTTTTTCTAATTAAATACGATATTTTGGTTATTTTTTAGGATATTTTTCTTACCGTAGTTTATAAATCCATATTCATTCGAAATTCAAGGAAGTTTCTGCTCACTGCATGAGTTTTTATGGGTCATCGCAGGAATTATATTTTTAAATCTCCTACATAGACTCTAGCATAAATTTATTTCTCCGATAATATTTTTCACTGATCGTATCATTTTTTATGATTTTTTTTATTTTTTATTTTTTTTCATATACGTAAATGATGGCTTGGCAAAAGACTTTGTTTTGTCAACGCCAGTATGCCGCCAGACCCGTCTAAGAGTCTCTGAATCTAGAGTTTTACCGTTGAAAACAAACTCCGGTTCATCGAGTGGCTTTGTGTAACGATGGAGAGGAGGAGTAACGACCAAATTGATGTCTTTCATTCAGGAAAAGAATCATAACTTTTGTTCAAATAGATGTGTAAACGAGCTGAATAATACATGAAAAACTCTTTCATATTCTAATAACCAATATACTAAAACTTTTACTCCAACCCCCAAAAAAATCTAAAATTTCTTTCTTTTCAACTTTGGATTTCGAAAATTATCCCATGTAAGTTTCATGTATTAGAAAAAAATATTTTAGCTCTAGAAGAGCGTTTGAAGGTTTTTTTTCGCTTTGGGATAAACAATTGCTATTAATAGATAGAAAAAGGAAACAAAATTACTTTCGAGGAAATAAAAAACGCGATACTTAATTTACAAAATAAGTCATTATTCATTTACTCTCGATCCCTAATCAAAAAACTTATTTCTATTTTTTTAAAACTTTCGTTTAGCCACAAAACTCACGAGAGAAGATATTTTTAAAATATTTTAGCTAGGAGTAACGTTTTAATTAAAACAGTGCGAGTGATTTGTACGGAACATGTTAGTTTATACACTAATTAGAATTAATAATGATGTGATAAGAATAAGATAGAGAACTTAAGACGTTTTATTTCTAAAAAATAAGTTTTGTGCTGAGTAAAAATTTTAGTGAATATCCGTACTGTGTGTAAAGCTGCTTGGAGTGGAAATAAAACTGGGAGTTAGGAAATAGTTGGTGTGTATTCAGAATGCATTTAGATAACGTGTTTGACAGCTGACTCACGAGAAGTCGTTTAAATTATGTACTTGTGTAAATATTCACTCATATCCAGTAATGTACGTTAACAGAAGATTTTTTAGTAAGTAGTCAGTTTGTAAGCCAGCTTTGTTGATTGAAATAATGAGTAAAAATCAACATTTATTCAGAATTCTTTCAGAATATGTTCAGGGATGAAAGAGATGTCAGTAGAATAGAGCGAGTAAAAAAGAACATTTCAAATGTACTGTTCTTCCTATTCACACAGTGTAAACGAGTCTACTTCTGGACAGTGAAAACCAGCTAAATTAATTATTTGAACAGTAAATTGTAACAAATAAATTTATTTAGCAAAATATAAACGTCTGGCTTTTTTCTTTTTTCTCAATCTTTTTCATTTTTCGGTGAAAATTTTTTTCAAGTAACATTATTTCAAAGTGATATTTTTTCTT